AACGCACGGGCTATGAAGAGAACACAACTCAATGAAAAGATCTGGTGTGCTACACTGTCTGAGATAGGGTTCAAGACTACGAGTCACCCTTATGAAATCGGAAGTGTAACCACTACGCTAAGGTTCAAATCTTCGCGATACCTTAGCTTATGCCCGATCTTATGGAACTGTTGATGCTCAGAGATAGTTTCAAAACTATTCAAGTGGGGGATTGTTGGAAATGTATATGAATAGCTTTGAAAGCTATAGAGTCTCTAGTGGAAAAACTACCACATTGATAGTTTTACTTGGTGAAATGTGTATAAAGATAGGAGCCTCTCTCCCAAGGGCATGCCCCTTGGGGTGACCCACTTTTGTGGGAGAGGGGGGACCTAACAGACCACCACATACACGCGCGCGCGCGCACCGTCCGTCCGTCCGACTGACCGGTCGCTCGGTTGGTTGGTTCACTTGAGACTATATATATATTTTTGGAGAAATTCCGAACGAAATTAATTATCTAATAATTAATTATTAATCGGTTATTCTGAGGTATATTCCTAAGGATAATCGACTAAAACGGAATATTCGAAGGATAATCCCTCCGGGTTTATCTTAACCGACGGTTTTAATTAAGGAAGTAATTATCTTCCTTAATTAATCCGACTTATTCCCCAAGCAAGAGGGTATATTCCTAGGGGTTCGGCTCCTATAAATAGCCGCCTCCCCAGCCCCTCTAATCACATCACAACGAGCAGAAACACAATAGAGAGAGTGTTTAGAGAGCTTCGGTTTTCGCACAAAACCGCGAGTATTGAGAGGAGCTGTTTTATCCTAGAGACGACCGGTTGATAGTCTGTCGTGCGCATCGAAGGCAGTGCCGCGAACGTCTTAAAGAGAGCAACCTAGTCCGCGACTCAGCTCCAGATTCGGTAACCTCGTTCCTTTTGTTGTTCCGTTCCTAACAATTGTACAATAGTTAGCACCGTCCTAACCAAGGAAAAACTACTACTAGTTTGAATTAGTAGTGATTTAGCTTAGATGTTGTATTGATTTTATAATAATCCGTAGTGATTTTTGCTAGTTATCACGGTGCTAACCCTAATAGGGGTTAGCACCTAATCCCATCCCTCCCCTCCCTATCATCTAGGGGTGTCAATTTGGGTTTGGTTTTTCGAGTTTACCCAAAACCGACCCGATTATATACATTTACGGTTTTTTTGGTTCTGGTTCGTTTTGAGTTTCGGGTTCGGTTTTGCTTATCGATTTTTCGTGTTCCAACTAAAAACCTCCAATGAAAAGAACTCAGCCCGTATTTTTAGGCGTTCGGGCTTTCGAGTTTCGCACTACAAGAAAAAAGACTTTCAGCTACCATTTTCTTGGCGACCATACAAAAATGGTTGCTTATAACCAGGTTTTTCCAACCATTCAAAAAATGGTAGCTGATACAGAACTCTAGCGCAACCAGCACTAAAATGGTTGCCCGTAATCTAAATTTCAACAACCATACGCAAAATGGTTGGTGATACCGTACCCTTAAGCAACCATAATGTAAATGGTTGTTGATAAATAAAAACTTTGACGACCATTTCTGAAATAGTTGTTGATACCATATCCTTAATCAACCATTTTGTACATGGTTGCTGATAAATGAAATTTTCGGCAACCATTTGTGAAATGGTTGGAGGTACCCTACCCTTAAACAACCATGATGTACATAGTCGTTGATAAATGAAGACTTCGACAACTATTTGTAAAATGGTTGGTGATACCCTATACTTAAGCAACCACTATGTACATGCTTGCTAATAAACAAAGACTTCGACAACCATTTGCGAAATAGTTGGTTATACTCTGTACTTAAGCAACTAAAAGTCTAATAGTGCAAGGAGTACTTAACTCTAAATGGTTGTCGATAGCCAAAAATGCATCAACCATTTAGAATATGGTTGGTTATATGCAGCTCTTAAGCAACCATATACAAAATGGTTGGTTTAGCCTCGACCCAAATGCCAAACGTTGTCGTTTTATTGTTTGGGGAAAGTGTGAGACAATTACAATCGATTATCGTTCTTACTTTTGGCCATTTCTTTTTCATATTCAAATCCCTAATTTCGCATCTTCTTCCCCGGTTCTCTACTCACTGCAGGCAGCTGAGGCGGCAGTGTCTCCCTCCACGCCCAGACCTCCCCAAATCCGGTGGTCTCCAAAGAAACGTCGGGCCGAGATGATTATTGGCGAGAGCGTGACCGCAGAGAAGCAACAGCGACTGACAAGGTGAGACGACGATGGTGCGACGAGAAAAGGGAGTTCACTTCCCCTGACTCGAGATTGCGGTGAAAAGCTTCCGATTCATCCTCGCCACAAGCATCTCTCCGGATCTCTTATTTCCCTTCTCCTTGAGCACAATCAGCTCCAGCTCTGGATTCATCTGAAACCAAACGACGGTTGAGTTCTCTATCAAACACTAGCTAGCATAGTGCCACAGTGTTTCTCGTCGATTGAAGGAGGAGGAGCGAAGGTTTATCCTTACTATTAGGGGGCTTTCTCACTTAATTAACTGATCGAAGACAAGACTCTCTTCTCAGATTTGGTGCTGCTCTTCAGAAGAAAAAAAGGTACAGAGATTTGGTCTATACACGGCAATAGATCACATATGTGTTAATTTGTTTGAATTATTGAATTTAAGTAATTAGTTTAACACTAAACTATTGAAATTTGAGAACCGTAACCCTATGAGTGCACTCCCATGGATTCTTTTATGAAACCCATCCACTTTAGGGATGGCCTCTCTAAGAGGAAGAAATAGTTTCTTATTTGTGTTATGTCTAACCTAATCATTGGTTTTAATTTATTGAGTGATTATTGGCTTCCTTACAAAGTATAAGTTGGTGACGATTATCTATCTTGATTTGTCCATTATTTCTTATCCCATACTTTGTCTTTCTTTAATCTCTCTGACTGTCTTTGTTTAATCTCTTCGGGTTTTAAGTTTAGGTCAGGATTTTGATTGTGTTCAGGTCTCTGACTGTCTTTCCCTATATGATTCTCCATATTTTGTAGTATATTTGCTGCTGGTTTTGCTTCTATATGTAGCAAGTTTCATGTCGGGTTTCCAGTAGGTTGTGATGGCTTTTCCAAGTATTTGGCAACAAGTTTATAAGGGGTTCTTTATTGGTTTTAAAACAGGTTTTTGCATGTTTTGAAACTGGTTTCTGCATGTTTCTTATGTTATTTTGCCTACCGATATTGTTCTGCTTGGATTTCAATTTTAGTCTTATGGTTTTGATATTAGTTAGTTTGTGTTGGTTTTCCCATGTTTTTTTGTTGCTAACTTACAGCGGGCGTGTATGCAGGCTTTTGACAAGGAGATTAGTTGCAATGGCTAGAATGGACTACTGATGTTTGATTTGGCAAGAAGATTAGTCGAAGATAATAGAATAAACTTTATTGATGTTGGATTTTGGAGATTAGTTGTAGAGAATAGGATAAACTCTAAAGGATTGAGATTGACAATCCCATTTTATCTAATGTTCTCCTCAAAGGGACAATAACAGTCTCATTTTGGATGTAAATATGTATGAAATACCACTTCTATCCACTTTTCCTTGTTATGTGAATTACTCTTTTATTAATATCAATTATAATATCTTTTGTTGGAAAGCAGCTTATTACAATATTGGTATTAAATGTACACATTAAGAAGTGACGAGCTACAAATATATTAGTCCCATAAATATGCCTTTTGGCTACCATAACGAAGGGTTGCTTAAATATCAACCTAGTTCTTACTTTTTGGCAACCCTCTCAAATGGTCGCTCAAATCTCCCATTTGACAACTATAAATGAGATTGTTGCTTGAAATGCTACCTTGTAGCGACCATAGATATGGTGGCTGAAATTCTAGCCTTTCACCAACCATTTTTGGATAATCTCTGAAAACGAGCATTTCCAACCATATCAAGATAGTCGCTGAAGTGGATTTTCACCAACCATAATTTAGAGTCGCCTAAAGTAGATTTTTTGCGACTATATAAAAAAAGGTCGCCTTGGACTTATGCCGACGCACTATTGCCGACCATGTTGGCAACCCTCACTTATGGTCGCTGAAAGGTTTCAGCAACCATTTTTTCAGTTTGGCCGACCATAATTGATGGTTGCAGAAATCATATTTTCTTGTAGTGTCGGTTTTGCTTTAATCGAACCCGAACCCGATAAGGAATTTTTGGGTTTCGGGTAACCGGAACCCGCAAGTCCTTATCGGGTTCGGGTTCGGGTTCGGTTTTAGTGGTTTTCGGTTATGGGTTTTCGGGTTTTTTCGTGTTTCGGTTTGGGTAACCGAACCCGACCCGAAATGACACCCCTACTATCACCTCCTCATTGGCAGCCACCTCGGCGTTCAGCTCCTGAACACGGGGAATTAGTGAGAGAAGAATATGGTGATTGTTCATGCCCAAGGTCGGGTCCTCCTTACTATACTAGTGAGGATGATCTTGAAGATGATGAAAATGAGTTCTCAATGATAAGTATTGATATTCCATTGGGAATGATTGAGAACATAAATAACTGACCTCTACACTATATAATGCTCCCAGTGAAAACTCATAGATTTAGTGACATGGTGGGTCCGGTTTCACCATTTTTGGCCCAAAACGACGTTGATTAGGAGATTCCATCTACCACGTTAGTACATAACGGACTTCATTAACGAAGTTGGATGGACACTAATGGAGAGTGACTAAATGTAGATTGTTTCAATAATTTGAGTTACCAAAATTAATAGTAATTTTTTTAGTGACTAAAGATAAGATGTTTTAGTAAACCCAGTGAACAAACTTGGAATTTACCTCTAGTAATTAGACAAATGTGATCGACTTAGACAAAAGTGACCAAACTTCCCAGTCTTCAACAAACTGCTTAAACCTTTGGGCCTCATCTTGTACCCTCTCAAGTGTGCTTCTATTATATGGTGTCATGGACCTAACTCAGGCCCAGATAGGAACCTTAACTCATTGCTGGATCCTCCTCCATCGTCAACTCGTCATCGCTTCCACCGTAATCAGATTCTCCTCCGTCCGTGGCATCGAAATCAGAGCAGATCTACCGTAGCCGTTCTCGAGAGGTTGATTGATTGCTGCAAAGCAACTATTGTTCTTTCTTTCAAGCTCCAGGGCTCGCTATCACCAGAAGGTATATATCTCTTTCCCTCCTCCACAAGATGTAGGCTGAACAATGAATTGCAAGCTAATGATGGTCTTCCCAGCAAAGGCCTTTTCTATGAGATGTCATCTCTTGTAGATTGATCAAAGTCTGAAGCTTTGTGGCAACTTGTGTTGTGGGTATCTCTCTTTCCTTTAAGCAGCCATGACCTGAGCTTCGGTGATCCTGATTATGATGTATGACCTTGTATTACTACATTTATGTGCACACATCTAGACTGAAAGATCATCAAATTGGATAAAAATGCTAACTATTAGAGACAGGAAGAAAAGACACATTAATCCGGCTACAGGCTACTCCTAGCCTGTTCTATGTTTTCATCGTTTCTGTGGATATCTTGTGACAAAGCAGTATCTGCAAAGGTTTGAGATTGTGCTTGTGTCTCAACCTTGTTCTTGTCCAAGCTTGGGTGTCCTGGCTGCAAGGATTAGTAGTAGTACTGCATGCATATCAGAAGCCTTCATGTGGGCATATGGTCTTTGCATTTGGCTAAGCTGTTTCTTGGAAGAATCAGACTTGTATGTATGGTCTTGTTTAATCCTTCACAATACTCATGATAAGGATTCTGTTACTTTGTTTCGATAAGTATTCCCAATTACAGATGATTGCATAAGTGTTCTCTCACTGTTAATACTGAAAACAATTGCAGAAACTGCTACCAATGACGATAATCTGGTTCTTTAGATCTTCTTCACAGGAGAGTATGTATTGCTACCATATTTGGGTTCTTACAATGGTTGCTAGAGTTTCGTGGTGATGAAACTAAAATTTCTATGGATTTTTATTTTAGTGAGTCCTAAATCCTAGTTAGCAGTATCTCCTCCTAACGTGGCAATTTTTATTTGTTAGTATCAATCCAGAATTGAGCAGAAAGAACATCTGCAACTCTCTCTGTCTGCATGAAAAATCCCTACTATCCAATATAGAAGGCTTATTGTCTTGGATTCTATAACTGGTAACTGAAAATCTGACGAGAACAGGTTTTGACAACAATGTCAAACATATCTAGGTGTTTGATAACTTGGGTGCACGCATGCTTTGATCTGTCGGTTTCTTCATGTATTACTTTGCAGAGGTTTATTGATTGTCGTCAGTCCTTGTGTGTAAAGGAAGTTCAACTTGAATTAGCTACTATCTTTCATTGTGAAATGCTCAGGTATTGCATTCAATCTCAGGACATTTTGACACCTTTGGATGGCTGATACAGAAGGGGAGGAGCGCGGAACAGGGAGGGATGAGCTTGCTGACTCCTTAAATGATCTCTTCATTAGCATCTCATCTATGGTGAAGGGAGAGCTTCAGGTCTCATAACAGGAAACAACTTTTTATTAAGCCCTAATTAATATATACTCAAAACTTCAACGTTTCTTTCTTTCTCTCTCCTGTTATGAAGTCCTTGTATTCTATTTGAATATATCGTACCCTAATTTCTTTTCCCAGGGGGCGAATAACTCTCTTGCACTGCTCGAGAAGATGAACCTAAGAGTAGCTGAAGAGTACGAGAGCTTTGGCGATGTGGCTTCTGGGCAGAAAGTTTTCGTCGAGCAACTGAAGACTAAAAGTGGCAGCTTTGATATATATGTTCAACAAATCGATGCAATAGAGCAGCAGGTGACTGAGTTTGAAGCTGTGATCTCTATGCTCGACAAATACGTTTCTTTGTTAGAATCCAAAGTGCAATCTGTGTACCAGCAACATCATCCACCCTCTTAAGTCTTAAGTTACCTAAACTCTGTTTTCTACTGCAATTCTTTCAATTAGTTCAATTATGTTTGCAGCTCATTGTAGTTTTCCTTTCTGGCATGGTGATTGCTCGAAATCTGCTCATTTTCTGGTGATTGCGACTACCATGTTGTGGTAAATCGAACCGTGGAGTTAAACTACAGCATTATGAAGAACTAAAACAATGCAAGAAATATAGAGAAAACCGAAACTGCCCAGAAAGTTAGAAGCAAAAAACTTCTTTCTATTATGATTCTCAATCGATCCCATTACATAATACAGTTGCTTGAACCTAGAGAACAACAAGGAACTAAAAACAACAGAGAAATTAACGCCTAGATTTTTCTCTAGGTACCAATGACGGTAGAGCAGCAGCTATTGCTCCCCGCGCTACTACCAGTACTGCGACTCCGACGCTGCTGCAAAATGGAATCGATCATGCTTCTCACTGTAACATTCGGCAGAAAATCACCCTCATCAACATTCCTCGCCCCGCAAGCACACGACTTGGATCTCTTCACATGTTCACTGATGCAACCCTTACAGTAGCTCTGGAAACAGCAACTCTTCACGAACACCGCCTCTCTCATGATCCCTCTGCATAATGGGCAGTTAAGCTCCGCTGGCACACCCACCGTCGTTGTACCATTGCTCTTGCTGCCGCCACAGTTGCTGCTGCTGCTGCTGCTGGTTGTTATCACGCTGGAAAACGTGGAGATCCCTTCCATCTGCCTGTTGAACTCGCTCTCGGCGGCTGCACAGGGAGCTGTTGACAGTGGCCGCATTCTTTTCCGATGATCGTAACTTGGATCGCCGTTAGTCGGGCAATCCTGAATGAAGTGACCCTTTATCCCACACCGGTGGCAGACGTAGCCGGTGGGAGGAGGCTGAGTGGAGAAAGGCGCTTTTCTCTTTCTTGTTGTAGTCAGGGTCGACTCTGCCGCCGCCGACCACATTCCCAGAGCCGGAGTATTCACCAACGCCATGATCTTGCTCTCCTCGTCTCTATCAACTGCGGCCGGAGCAATACTATTCTTCTTCTCGGGAGCAATAGTGTTCTTCTTCTTCTTCTCTATCGACGGCTTGGTCACTTGGGAAGGAATAGCATAGACATCACCACCAAAATCATCGTAGTCTAGATCTTCGATTCCACTGGTCGTCGTCATTACCGAATCCGAAGCAGGGTAGGACCTTTTTACTTCTTCTGCTGACTTCACTTCTTCCACCGCCGGCCGGAGATCAATCGCCGCCGTGTTCAGAGGTTGTCGGCGGCGGTCGCCTGGAATCCGCCGGAGTAAAACGGACGCTTTGTCAAAGATCAGCGCGTTTTCATCGGAATAAGGGGTATTGGTTTGGGGATCAATGATGGAGAGATCGTGATCCGTTCCCAAACAGCAACCGTTCCAGATACTGCTACGGCGCCTGGTTTCCTGCTGAGATTTGGAATCGGTAGATCGGTCTTTGAAATTGGCTTTGAAAATCGCCAGTTTCAGATCCCCGACGGTTACGTAAGGCCCCTGTATTTGGATCTCGGAAAAATCCCTAGAACTCAGGAATTTGTACCGCACCGTCGTAGTCATCGTCGCAGCCATTGTTTTAGAGTTTCCTTTTTATTTTCTTTCTCTAAACCAGATTATGCAGAAATCAAAATCAAGATTTGCAACGAAGGTATAACGCAGCACACAGAAAACCAGGCAGAGACGGGTATGAATGAATGAACGAATAACAAACACGAAATCAGAATCGATAGCGAGAATCTTCCGTTCACGAGATCAATAGTGATAATAATCGGAGAACGAACAATTTTTTTTTTTTTCACAATCGGAGAAGCGGAAAATAACAACAGTAAGCAATTCTGTAGCAAACTCAGAAAGCAATTACAATTTCTTTTCAGATCACGAACTTTGGATCTGGGAAGCGCCGGGGATATTGATCTCCGTCGTCTGAATAGGGCTTCGATCGGCTTCTGATGTCTCGCTGCAGATGAGGATGACGGGGAAAGTGTGCTGCTCTGGCTTGCTTCAAGTCGCCGTCGCCGTCGGATGAGAGAAACGGGAATGGACCAGTTTCACCGGATCAAGACGAGATCGTCTTCTGAGATTTGGTGATGGCAAAAGAACGCAGCGGAAGTTTCTGGAGTTGGAAATAGGAAGAAGGTGGAGAACGTGGAGGCTAATGGATAAATGATGGTTTTATAGTTGAAGGCTGAGTGAGTGGCTGACCAAGTCCGACGCGCTAGCGTGACACCCAAGCCACCAGAAATTAACCGTGTCCTGCCCAGAAATTAACCGACGTTTGAGATTTGTTAATTTCAGCTGTTTTATTGGAAGTTTTCTTGTTTAATCGGCAGAAGGAAAAAGAAATTCTGAACGGTAAGAAACTAGAAAACGAGTTTTAAAAAAAGGAAAAATAAAATACAGTAACCATAAAATTTAATGAAATTAATCCCCGAAAATTATTTTTCTCATTTGGGACTTCTAAATGAGAGGCTGGTCCATTTTAGGCTGCATGTCCACAAGTTGGATCTATTAGCTAAGATATTTAGCTAATTCAATTTATTTCGTCTAAATTTAATTGGATTTATAGTTTCATGGATTGTTTAAAAAGTTATAATTTAGCACTTAATTAACATTCACTATCCCGATTGTACTCTTTTATGTATTTGTAGCAACTAGAGCTAAAATAGAGATAAACAATTTAGATAGTCCCGCGTACCAAATTCATAATTTGTTTTGTTATCTCTATAAAAAAAAAAACCCTAGTATCATTTATCTTTGCAATACCACAACATGTTTTTCAAGACAAGATTGAAAGGTTAAATTTCTAAGCAACATCCATTGAATCAAATTAAAAAAATATAAATATTAGTGGAAATAGAGGAGAAACAACATTTGAAAAGTAAGAAATTGTCTAATTTTCTTTTTGAGCTTGAAGCCTGCATTGCATGGCTTCCGCAGTCATTTGCACATCCGGCCTTTACACCATATATTTCCCAGAATGTTTATAATTTAAATATATAAATTAATTTTCAACTTTATAATTTAGGGGTCGTTTGCTTCAAGGATTTGGTACATGGATTTGGTGCCAAAAAACCAACTATCAAGGATTTAGGTACAATCCGTTGTTTGCTTCATCCAAATTTGTTGAAATAAATCCGTGGGCAATTAATTTTCAACTTTATAATTTAGGGGTCGTTTGCTTCAAGGATTTGGTACATGGATTTGGTACCAAAAAACCAACTATCAAGGATTTAGGTATAATCCGTTGTTTGCTTCATCCAAATTTGTTGAAATAAATCCGTGGGGCCCACGGATTTGGGTTTTTTTTTTTGCCCCAAATCCGTGGGCCCCACAGATTTATAAATCCCACATGCTTATTAGGGATTTGGCTAGCTGATGAAAAACCAAGAGCGAAAATGACACTCATATCCCCATTATTTTTCATTAAACCAAAAATACCCTCTCTATCCCTTAACCCTATCTATCGTTCTATTCCCCACAGTCTTGTTCTATTCCCCTCAAACAGAGAAGTTGCGGAAGAAGACTCACCCGCTCGGAAAAGTGCAGAATCCAGCTCGGCGACAATTTTCCATCGGAGTTCATCTGGGCTTGGTCAACCTCGAACGGCGAATCTGGTATCAGGTAAGCACGACTCACCCGCTCTCCAAACTCCAATATGCCATCGAGCAATATGTTCACAGCCAAAAATGGCGTTATTTGGTTGGCATCTGTATACCTTCAACTCATTCGTATACTTTCAACTCTTTCTGGGTTTGTTTTGGCTCAATCCACATAGTGATTGCTGGTGCTGCTGTTTGTGGTCATTTTTGGCCAATAGTTGTTTAACGTTTTGTCCCTCACAGTTTGAGTCTGTACTTTTTCGAGAATTTAGATGGATTGTTTCCTGCCCAATTTGGATTTTTGGTGGAGTTGTAAATGGTAGTTAGTTTTGGACTAGGCTACCAAAGGAATGATTGGTAGCATGAAAGGGTTTCAGTTGGATAAGTGGAATGTTGGACCAATTGATTATGGGAGGAGAAATGGGGTAGAGAGTTGAAGGGACTCTGTTGATAAAGTCGATTCATTTACATGAAGAAAAACTTCTTACTTGTCTACTCTAGTGATCCAATTGATTTGCTTATGATGGCAATAACTGCAAGCTCACCTGGGATGCCTTATGCATAGCTACTTCTTTCTCATTTCGATCGTGACCACTGTTATCTAGACATCAATTGTTTTAGCTGATGCTATAGATGCTTGGTGGAGAACTACAAATTGTTATTCTTTCCCGGAAATTTGTTTTTCGTTTGAATGCATCATAACTAGAACATATTCTTGTCTACATCGAATGTTCTATATGACATATTAGTTGCTACAAGTAACATAATGCTTTTCTATTTTCTCTGGTTTCGAGCACTCTACTGTTACCATTTTCTACTTGGTGTTATCTTGATTGAGCAGCTAATTTTTTTTTTCATTTTCTGTTATGTATAGAGGACATGGCTAGATTGACCAGAGTGCCTAATGCACGCAATCGAGAAGCTGCAGCAGCAATTAGGGTTGTCTTAGGGTTGTTGCTTGCTTATTTTTCTTTGTTGCTTGAACTGTTAGAGCTGTTACTGAGGAAAAAGCTTGAGACTAGCAGAGCTCCTAACACCCCTATAGATAACATATTTGATCGTGAACACGATCGAAGACGTTATATCAGGCGTATAATTTCGTTGTCCGATACTCATTGTATTAGTAAGGTTAGGATGAATCGAGCCTTGTTTAGGAAGTTGTGTGACCTCCTTGTTAGTGATGGTGGGTTGAAAGGTACCGATAACATAGATATAGATGAGATGGTGATGATCTTCTTGATAACAATTGGACAGAGCAACTTGATGGGATTCTTATACAGTGTATGCAAGAGCTGGCTCAGAAACACCAAGTGGAGAATGGCAATTTCAATAATGGATCTTTTACTGAGCTTGAGAACTTGATGCATCAGAAGGCACCTGGCTGCGGAGTAAAGGTGGAACCAAATATAAGATCCAGGCACAAGAAGCTGAAAAGGGATTTCATGGCGGTACACTTGCTTCGTTCGAAGAGTGGACAAGGCTGGGATGAAAGCACATGCACACCATATCTTGATGATGATGTGTTTGAAGACCTTCTCAAGGTATGAATCACGTATTCTTGTTTTATAATCAAACCGGCAGGTTGTCTTATTCTATTCCTACTAGCTGTCATAAGGTTGCTTCGTTTCTGTAGGTGCATCCAAACATAAAAAACTTGAACAAGAAGCTTTTCCCCTTCTACAACGAGCTAGCTGAGGTATTTGGGAAAGGTGGGACAGCTGCTGGTCGATGTACAGGTGGCATATCTAATGGTCCACCATCACCTGAATCTGTCGTGGATTTGGAAGGATTTGACTCACCAATTGACCTGGATTCTCAAAGGACCACAGAGATCATGGATGACTTAATCAACGAAGGTATTGAGCTGCAACATCCTGCCTTTTCACCTCCGTTTGATCCAGTAGGTGCTCCAGCCACCAAGATTCAGCCTTGTAGACCAAAGAATGCAGCTGCCAGCAACATATGTGCTAAGAAGAAGGCAAAAAAAATTGAAATTAACACTGATGAAGCTATAGTTAATGTCTCATCCCAACTTGGTGAGCTGAAGCCAATAATCTTCAAGGCCGTGGAAGCTCTTGGCTCCATAATAGGTGATCGTGATGGTGACAACAGTAAGCAAGCTGCTTTGATCAAGGAGATAGGGAAAATTGGAGGACTCACTCGTGACCAAGTCATTGATGCTGCTATGGCTTTAGTGGACAACGAGCCAAAGACTCGACTTTTCTATGCACTAGAGAGCGAGGAAGACCGGTGCTACTTCATCAGGAGCTTGCTACGTTGACATTAGTGGTGTAGGATTGACTTCCTAGTCTATTTTGCAGAACACATGTGGGATGTATGCGAAACTTTTTTTTTTGTGCAAGGTTAGCTCATGCTGGAAGTTTGGCGGTGGAAAACCATCATTTTGCAGAAGTTTCCTTTCATCCCAAATGTTATAGATGTGTTAGACTTATGGTTGCTGGTTTTAAACGGTTGTGAAAGCTATTGGCAGGAACCTTCTTTATATTCTTCTGATATTATTAAATTTTTTGGTTTCGTCTTCTAGAAAGTTGCAGCTGGCTCAGTTTGGCTTGCATCTAAACTAGAGGAAAGTCCCAGAAGAGCAAGGCAGGTTATCATTGTTTTTCACCGGATGGAATGCCGCAGAGAGAGCAAGGCAACCCCTTCCTTTAATGGGTTAAAAAAAGGGCAATAAGGTAAATGCAATTCTTTATTTCTAAATCCCAAATTATTAAATCCATGATCAAAATGAAGAAACAAACAAAGGATTTTTCCAAATCCAAAATGCCCCAAATCCCAAATAAAACCTTAGGTTTTTAAATCCCACGTTTAAGTGAAAACCCTCATTTTACAATCCTTGAAGCAAACGACCCCTTATATTACTCTCCCTCTCTCTCTCTCTCTCTCTCTCTCTCTCTCTCATTCTTCTCATCTGCCGTTCCTTCTTCTTCTGTCTATAAATGTATTATCACCTCCAGCGCGGTGAGTCTTGTTTCAATCCGGCTGTCCGTCGATCTACTGCCATGACCAAGACCGAGAATTTCAGTTCGGGTTTCGATCTACCGCCAAGCTCACTCTATGTCCCACAGGGAAACCCTCATCCCCTGAATCCATTCACCAAACTGGTAGACGATCTCCTCATAGAGATTCTGCTTCGCCTCCCAAACCCTAGATCCTCCTGTCAATGCAAAGCCGTCTGCAAGAGGTGGAGATCCCTCATCTCGGATCCCACCTTCAATCTCCGCTTTATTTCCCATCACCAGAGCAGGTACCAACCAGCATCTCTGTTTCTTCCCTCGCACAACCCCCAATCGATGCTCAGCTTTCTCCCTTTTCCCGATAAAGCTCTACCGGCTTTGCGAGCTTTTGATTGCTTCAAGGACTTGCTTCTATGCGGGTTTGCCCACTTGTTCGGCGAATTGGGCAGATCCTACTTGCTTTGCAATCCGTTTACCAATCAATGGGTTGCCCTCCCTTTGGCGCCTAAAAAGCCAGAAGGTGGGCATAATGGATCTGCGGTAGTGTTAGTTTGTCAACCCCGTGGTGAATATAATTTTGTGCAGCAGCCAGAATCATAACCAAAACCAAAACCAGCCTTTGTTTATTCTTTCGAGTACCGTTTCCGCGTGGTGTGTCATTTCCAATGTTGCGATGGTATTATGCTGCATGTGTTCTGTTCCGAGTCTAGGAAATGGACCAAGGTGTTCTTCAAGCATGCCGTGAAAAGGCCGTGGAGCAATGTAACCTGGTGGAACGGGAGGATGTATTGGATGCATCTTCAATACATTTCCTTGTGGTCAAAGCTTGCTGCATATGATCCTTTCCGCCTCGATATCGCCCCTCAATGTATGCGTGTGCCTCCTATATTGTGGAGCGCATTGTGTCATGGATGTGGGAATTTTTCAGTATCACAAGGTGCGTTTCACATAGTTGTGTTAGAAGTTGAAAGTGTGGGTTATTTTTCAAGGGATGCCTTGACTGTTTGGAGACTGGAAGAAGATACTGGGAACTGGATCATACAATATGAACTGGTGTTGAAGACGACGACATAATCGTCGTTATGGGGTGAATATGAACTGGACAAGTGTTTTGTGCTCGATTTGCACCCGGAGAAGCCGGAAGTTGTCTTCTTTAAGTACTTGAATGATTGTGTCCTCTCCTGCAATTTGAGGGCTGGGACTAACAAATTTAGCTGAGATTGTGGAAGATGAAGCTCAGAGAGTTCTGAGTTCACCATTTCGTATATATATAGCATTCAAACACAATTACAGTAATATGCCACTTGTCCAGCATACATAGGCCATTAAGAAAATTAAACAGTTCTTTCTTAACGGCTAACAGGGAAATAAACAAAACGACTGCGTAATGGAAACGTGGTAAGTTGTTGTTGATAAAACGACTCTGTCTCTTATAAACGACGCCGTCTTCTTCTTCTTTGTTTCTTCACTTCAATTCAATCCTGAGCCTTCTCGGATTTCTCTGCTGCATCACTTTCTTCTCTGCAACTGTGTCAACTCCTTCAACTCTGATATCCCCCCTCAAGTTAGTGGCTCCAACATATTGGTGACACCTAACTTGATCAACAATTCCTTCATTCGAAACCTGTCAAGACTCTTAGTAAAGAGATCTGCCTGCTGGTTAGCAGTTCCAACATGTTGTAGTTTGATCAAACCACTCTTAATCCGATCCCTGGTCACATGTATGTCTATCTCTATGTGTTTTGTCCGCTCATGAAACACTGGATTCTCTGCAATATAAATTGCAGATTTGTTGTCACAAAAGATGGGAATAGGTAGAGGTACCTTCACTGTCAATTCAACTAGGAGTTGTTTTAGCCACTGCACTTCACATACAACATGAGCCAAAGCTCTATATTCTGCTTCAGAGGAGGATCTAGACACTGTAGTCTGTTTCTTTGTTCTCCAAGTCAATAGTGAACCACCAAGGAAAGTGCAGTACCCTGTTGTTGATCTCCTAGTGTCTGGACAACTTGCCCAGTCTGAGTCACAGTAACCAGTCAGCCTTAGTTCATTCTTACTGCTGAAGTGAATTCCTTGACCTGGAGATGATTTCAAATACCTCAAAACTCTGTAAGCAGGTTGCATGTGTTCCTGGCAGGGATTCTTCTGATACTGGCAAAGCTGCTGCACAGCAAAAGCTATGTCTGGCCTGGTAATAGTAAAGTAATGCAACCTGCCAACCAATCTCCTATAAGCTTCTCCATCTTCCATTGGTGTTCCCTGTGCAGACAACTTTACTTTGGTATCCATAGGTGATTTACATCTGAATCCAGAAAACCTATGTCTTTCAAAAGTTCAACACAGTACTTCCTTTGACACACATCAAGACCATGATCATTTCTAACAACCTCCAAACCCAGAAAGTATTTGAGAGGTCCTAGTAGTTTGATTTTAAACTCTCTGCTTAGAGCCAGCTTAACCTGCTCAATGTCCTTTTGTGCATCTCCTCCCAGGATGATATCATCCACATACACCAACAGGACAACTACTCTTCCATGCACCCATTTAGAGAAAAGAGAGTAATCAGAGTTTGATTGAGTAAAACCATTCTTGAGAAGAAAGCCTGCAAGTCTAGCAAACCATTGCCTGGAGGCTTGTTTAAGCCCATATAAAGACTTTTTCAGTCTGCAAACAAGGTTCTTACCTTCTGGATTTGACACTTCAACTCCCAATGGAATCTTCATATACACCTCATCATGTAGTTCACCATGTAAGAAAGCATTAGACACATCTAACTGCTCCAAAACCCAATTCTTCACACTAGCCACTGCTAACAGTGCTTTAACAGTATTGATTTTAGCAACAGGTGAGAAAGTGTCCAAAAAGTCAATCCCATAGACTTGATTGAAACCTTTAGCTACAAGTCTTGACTTACACCTCTCAAGTGAGCCATCTGGTTTGAGTTTGATCTTAAAGACCCACTTATTTCCTATTGCTTTCTTCCCCTTTGGCAGCTCTACAATGTCCCAGGTTTGATTCTCCTCTAAAGCAAAGATCTCAGACTTAACTGCTTGATTCCAGATACCATCCTGTATAGCCTCATAGTATGATCTAGGTTCTTGCATATTAATCACACTTAAAACATAATGCCTCTCAGCTAAGTTCAGTTTATCAACACTTAAGCAAAGTGGATACCTGGTAGAAGCATTAGCTTTACCAAAAGCACCAAATTTGAGGGAAGGATCCAGTTGATAGTCCTGAAATTTGGATGGCAAGTTGACTTTCCTTTTAGGTAAGGAACCGCCATCAGCATTATGTTCATCTTCATCATGTTCAGCCTGAGCTATAAGTTCCTGCTGGTCACTGTCAAAGTATTCATAATGATCTTGAACAGAGGATAAAACAGGCTCAGCAGTCCCCCCTTCATCAAAGGATGAAACAATTTGAGACTGTCTAGAGGTAGAGGATGGAGTTTTGTCTGGTGTAGGGCTGGTATGTGAGGAAGAAGGTTGAGAAGAAAGGGTGGAAGGTATAGAAATGGGTGGAGCAGAACTGTTTGTTGGTGGTGTATAGGTAGGTTCAGGAGATTCAGAAGTGGAAGTTGATGGTTCAGAAAGTTTGTATGGGAGGATGTTCTCATAGAAGATAACATCTCTAGAGAAGAAGACATGTTTAGTGTGAAGGTCTAGGACTTTATAGCCCTTTATACCAGAAGGAATTCCCAGGAAAATGCACTGTCGAGCTCTAGGTGCAAATTTGGTTCTTCCATGGGACAATGTGCTGGCATAACACAAGCAGCCAAACACTTTAAGGTGAGAAAGAAAGGGTGGTTTGTCATAGAGAAGTTCATAGGGAGATCTATTGGCTAGAATGGGTGTAGGAATCCTGTTAATGAGATACACTGCATGCAAGATACAGTCACTCCAAAAGGTAAGTGGAATTCCTGACTGGAATCTCAAGGACCTAGCCACATTTAAAATGTGCTGGTGTTTTCTCTCTACACGAGCATTCTGCTCTGGGGTCTCTACACAACTCATCTGATGCTCAATGCCTTCCTGTAAGAAATAATCACACATAGCAAATTCCTTCCCCTGGTCACTTCTGATGACCTTTACTGTTGTACCAAACTGGTTCTTAACCAGATTGCAGAACCCTTCCAGTAAACCTCTAACTTCACTCTTATGCTTCATTAGATACACCCAAACAGCACGTGAGAAATCATCCACAACAGTTAAGAAATAATTGAATCCATCATAAGAAGTTACTGATAATGGACCCCAAATATCCACATGAAGTAAATGAAATCTGTTTGGTGCAACATTGGTGCTAATTGGAAAGGATAAACGTTTGTGTTTGGATAAATGACAAACATCACAATGTTTTGTCTTAGAACTAGTTACATTTGGAAAACTATGGCTAAGCAGGTTCAGTCTTTCATGGCTGGGATGCCCTAGTCTCCAACGCCACAGCTCTAGTTGGTGAGGATTGAAGTTGAAAAGTGTGGCTACATGAGGCTGAGTAGGTGAACTGGAGTGTGGTTGTTGAGTGGATGGAAAGGAGAGATGGTAGAGGCCTTTAGTTTCTTTTGCTAAACCAATCTTCTTCTGACTTAGTAGGTCCTGGATAGAACAATGGTCAGATTGAAAGTGTAAGGATACAGGTAAATCATGTGTAAGCTTGCTTACTGAAATTAAGTTGAAGGTAAAACTAGGTACACACAACACATCATAAAGGATCAATCCTGAAGGTAAAGTGACTGTTCCTATGTGTGTAACTAGCACTTGTGTGTTGTTGGGAAGGTTGACAAAGGAATTTGGGATAGACTTGTGGTCTGTGAAAAGGGATAAGCTACAGGTTATATGGTCGGATGCTCCTGTATCTAAGATCCACAAGTTATGTAAATGAGATGGACTAGGTTTAAGAGTAGATAAAGTGTATTTACCTGAGTGGTTTGGATAAGAAGGTAAATACTGGGAAACAGAATAGGCTTGATGGTTGATGGTTGGTGAGGTAGGTTGTGAAGGGAAAGAGTTAGCACCAATTTGCAACATGTATCTCAAACGATTCATTTCTTCAGCTGTGAATCCAGGTGGGTTGGGTACCATGTTGCTTTCTGCACTTAAACTTCCCTCTGACTGAGTTTCTGTATTGGAACTCTGAACCACTGAACCAGCAAACCTTGGAGTATTTGAACTGGAACTGGAACTTGAATTAGAGCCTGAATTGCTAGATTTCTCTTTCTGTTCAGAATTCTTCTTCTTCAAAATCCAACAATCCTCAATGTAATGATTTGTCTTCTTACAGTATCTGCAATACTTCTTCCCTTGTCCTGATTCCTCAGTCCCTCTGTTCTGTTGTCCTCCAACTGCTAGAGCTACAGATTGTGACTTCTTTCCACCAGAATTTCCTTCTCCTTTAAGTTTCTGCTCATGTTGTAGCAGGTCATCAAGTGCAGTAGAGACTGTAGGCAAAGGCTTCTCCTTTAACCATTTCATAATCAGGGTTTAGCCCTCTAAGAAACTTGATTAAGTAATCAGTCTCTTGTTTCTGTATAAATGTTGTTACTGCATGACAAGGAAGTGGGTTTCCTGGAACACAGGGACAAGGAACCACTGGGCTGTACTCAAGGTATTCCTCCCAAAGACCCTTCACTTGAATGAAGTACTGATTGATGGTCTTAGTTCCCTGTTTACAAGCAGCAATTTCATCCTCAATGTTGATGATTCTAAGAGTGTTTGGTTGACCAAAACGCCTCTTCAGCTCATCCCGTAGTGCCTTAGCATTTGTATGGGTTAGCATAGCTCCCTTAAGATCCTTGTTCATAGAGTTCTGAATCCAGCATAGGACTAGGGTATTACAAGCATCCCACAAGGTGAAGCGATCTGTGCCGCGTGGTGGAATGGGTATGCTTCCATCAATGAAACCCAGCTTATGCTTGGTTTTCAGAACAACTTGGATCGATCGACTCCACATTGTATAATTTGTGCCATCAAACAACTCAGAAACTAAAGACTGGCACATATTTTCGTTTGAGTTGAGGTAAAATGGGTTACCAAAGGCGATTGTTTCTGGTTGCTGTGTTTGTTGATTGAAAGATCCAAATTGCACTTCTGACGCCATAGCTGTAGATCCTGCAGCACCACTGGGTGGTGTATTTGGAGGAGTGTTCGCCATGGCGGCGGCTGCGGCGTTAGGGTTTGAGGAACCCTAGATCTTTCGCTCTGATACCATAACAAATTTAGCTGAGATTGTGGAAGATGAAGCTCAGAGAGTTCTGAGTTCACCATTTCGTATATATATAGCATTCAAACACAATTACAGTAATATGCCACTTGTCCAGCATACATAGGCCATTAAGAAAATTAAACAGTTCTTTCTTAACGGCTAACAGGGAAATAAACAAAACGACTGCGTAATGGAAACGTGGTAAGTTGTTGTTGATAAAACGACTCCGTCTCTTATAAACGACGTCGTCTTCTTCTTCTTTGTTTCTTCACTTCAATTCAATCTTGAGCCTTCTCGGATTTCTCTGCTGCATCACTTTCTTCTCTGCAACTGTGTCAACTCCTTCAACTCTGATAGGGACAGGAGAGCCAGAGTTCTTCTCTGCAGTAAAACTCAAATGCTATGAACCTGGTTGGAGGGCGTTGCAGCCCAGAGTCTCTTGCTGGCTCACTCCGATTCCAAGGTACGAGGAGTTGCGAGGTATGTACGTTGGAAGCTACGATTGTTGGGTTCAGAGCAGCAGGACAACAACACTTGCGAGCAAAAGAGTGCAGCCCTTGGTTGAACAATTTGGTCTTAAGAGGAAGGACAACGGATCAGCAGCAGCAGTATTAAACCCCTCCAAGTGTTGCGTTCAAAGGAAGCAGAAGGTGGCGAAAGGCAGCAGCTTGTGACCTTAGAGCGGTAAAATGAAATTATCTCCAGTGATCCATTAAAGGAGTGTGCAACAGAGAGCTAACCTAATTTTGAGCTTTTATAGATGGCTACTTGGAAATTTAGAGAGCATGACTACCGAAAAATTATAATTTATAAAGAAAAGCCTCAAACTTGAAAACATATTGCTTCATCGACTAAATATCTAATTGAATAAAAGACGACTTGCTTCAAACAACATAAAAAAAAAGCCTTCAGCATTGCTATGCTCCACTTTTGTGCCGACTTTTTGTTTGTAGTTTAACCATGTTAAGATTTAGGTAAGCGTGGAGCGGGTGCGGGAGCGAGAGCGTCAGAGCGTTGATTTTCAAAGAATTCAAAGTTGAGAGCCTGAGCAGAGCGTGAATATTATATTATTATTAATTATTTTCTAGATGTATTAAAACAAAATTTATTTTCTTATGATAAACTATAAAACATATATTGGATTTGTTTCAAGTTGGAGGGTTGTGGACTTGTGGTTCTACTTCAATTCACCATGCGACTGTTTTATTGCATTATGAATTTATTATTGATTTCTTATTTTTAGAGTTCAGTGACAGGAGTGAGGTTCTAAAACCAATTTAGGGGCAAAACGGTCAATAACAGGGTGGTATGAAGTCTCCTATGTCAAACTAAAAACCTAATCTTTCATTTCATTTTTTTGCCGCCACTTACTATCTTCTCTCCTCAACTTCAACCTTCCTCGCCCTCTTGGTTCATTCTACAAATCAGATAAACATAAAGAAGGAAAGGACGCCAAATCATTCCAAACTCATTATCTCTCGTCTTCTTCATCTTCCTACCTCCGACTATCTTCCCATCTACGAAGAACGATGATTGAAGGAAGTTTCGAATCAGCTTCTCCTCCTCTCGTCAACGGCGACAAGAACAAGAGAATCGCGAACCAGATAATCTTTTCTAGGCATGCATGTTCAACTTTTTGGTTTGATTTTGATTTGGGTAAATTTTAGGGTTCTTACCCCATTTGTTTTTTGGTTTTGGTTTTCGATTGAGGGAAGGGAGAAGAAAGAGCATCCACGGCCGGTGAGAACCTTGCTGGCGACGAAGTTGTGGTGGTTTTGGGTATCAACGCAGGTGTAGGTCAAATGTTGCCTCAATAGATAGCGATTTTTTTAATATAATTCGCGCTCTGAAAAAATTAAATTCGTGAATTTTGTACGATTTCTTCCCAATCCGCGCTTTTGCGCTCTAAAGCGGGAGCGTGGGCCCAAGGCCCACAAATTGTGTGACCTAAGTTAAGATGCGTCCTCCATCCTTATAATTATTTTCTTATCATATGACCAAGGCCAAGTAAAATGTATTAAAGGCCTGTTCTATATAGGTTACCTTAGGAAAAGGAATTAAGAAAGAAACCATGATTAGAAAGTTGCAGTTTCCTACTTCAGTAGAAATGTTGAAGAGGGAAAATATGCAATCAAAACTCTAATCTCAACGATTGATATGACGGCAGATACAACATAAAATAATATCACCCACTTCCCGTTTGAAAGCTCAAAGAACCACTTGCACTCGCTATAACTGATCTTCCCAACAAATGCATAATAAATGCTGGCCGCAACAATCATTTGATGGAAGAAGATCGGTTTAAGCTAAAACTTCTGGATTCTTTGTTATCATATAAGACATTCACATGATCATAGATATATCTTTGGATGTCTCATTAGTAACAAAATGGATTGGTCCATGGATTGGTTGATTGAATTGGTTTGATCCATGGATCAAACGCATTCATGGATTGGTGGATTGATTCATAGATCTACATGACATCCAAGTTTTGGACCAATATGTAAATATTGAAAAGTTTAGGTACTAAAATGTCATAATAAAATTATTTAGGTAGCAAAACCCAATTTTTCAATGACATTTTTTGCATTAAAAATAAAATTTCAGTATCAAATTGTAATTATAATAAATTTAGGTACTAAACTATAATTTGCCAACAATCCATGAATCTAATCCGACTTGAATTAAAATGAAATGGATTAGTTGAATATTTACGTGGATGGATTGGATTGATGGATTGAATTATAAATTGCCACCTCTATTTGCATCTAACCTAACCGGGCAACTTGAGCATCTTAGCGATTTCCATTGACATATACACAACTATTGATTCCTTTGGCAAGTGTTTAGAAGATGATGAACAACTATTCAATTAGTAGCACATAGAGCAAATGTACCAAGTTACAGAAAAATAATGAGAAAGACTCTGCAGCTGCAAGAAGAGCTAATTATGGTGAATATGGCATGCAAATGAATCAAATGTTCATGAGTTATACATCGACACCGAAGCTGTGACAGAATACAAAAATACATCTCCAAGAAAAGAGTAGTGAACAAAATAATCAAATCTTCATGAGCAAGGACAGCAAAAAAAAAAAAAAAAGTAACAAGTGAAATCATTCTTCCGAATTAATTGGTTTCAATAATTCGAATTATTCCGAGAGGTGCAGTTACTGCTAACAATCGTCTGTTCTAAGCTACTCCAAGAAAACAATAATTATCATTATCATACCGTTTTAACTAACAAGGCTTGTTAACCCCCCAAAACCAAAATCCAAAGGCAAAGAGAGATCGAGTTGATTAATATTTCACGAAGAGGAAAGATATCTAAGTATTAGCCTTCAAAACTCCACGCGGCCACACACAGCTCGATCGTTGCCCTATACATATATGTCATCCATGCCTCGCCGGCGGTGAGAAGCTCCGGCAAGGATTGATCGTCGGAACACCAGTCGGCGGCCGGTTGTAATACTTGGGTACTGCACGCGTGCAGAACGGAACGACGGATAAATAATTAGCAATCAAAGCGCTGGGAAATTAAAAACACATTCCCAAGCAGCAAAATATGATCTCTTTTCATGTAACAGTACTGACCTGTAATTGGGAGAGTTCGGACACGAATCCGACATGAACATGCTGACTGGACTCCAAGAGCCAGCACCAGAAGACCAACCAGAATTCTGCCGACATTATTATGATTGGTCTTCTTCCCCTTCATTGGATACTTACAATTGTATGGTCTGACAGACACAGACATATATACATAGAGTCAATTGACGGTCAAGGTGGTTGACTGGGTCGCTTGGGGGCAGCAGATACATTAATTAAGAAGAAAAAGATGAATCATACATTACACCGTCATTTTCTAGTTTGTCTTATGTTGTTAACAATATGCACATTCTCTTTATAACCGAAAGGTAAATGAAGGGAAGACGACAGTGGTTAGAGCAAGAATGAAGATGCTCTGCCGATTCATGGCTTTGTCGGGAAGGTTGGCATTACGCTCTTTTTGGCTTTCCCCCCTCATTTTTGTCGAATAAATACTCTTCCGAAAATTTTAATTTATGATGTCGTTGTTAATCTAATAGGATCCACTTCCGGAGTGAATCTAGTCGTGTAGTACAATTTGCGACTTTTTAAACAATGAACTGTGAATGTCCAAACGGTCATCTCTCACGAGTACTTTAATTGTATTAACACAGAACATTTACGAAACGAATACTCAACTAGCTACTTCCACACGTGAATTTTTAGAGCTGGAAAACGGTCTAATTAATTCGGTCAAATTGGGCCAAATTGACCCGATTAACCTAGTTCGATAATTTGATCACATCCTGATTTGATGAGAAATTTTACAATTAGTATGGTTTACAAAAGTAAAATTCTTTATGATTCAAAACTTAACTTATACTTTTAAAGTTGTGATACAGATTTAGTTTGTACTTAATTATACTTCTCCCCAAATATAAGCCCAAGCTAAGCAAAATAAGAAGCTAAAGGATCCCAGCAAATAGCAATGCCACAACTGATCATAACGAAATAAAGCCATAAACGAATCAAAGAATATTCTTTTTTTGTGAGTTGTGCATGCTTGCTTCACCTCCTCACAATTGGTCACCTTACTTAACCCTCTTATTGTAAGGATTTCCTGAATTTTGTTCATGCACTCTACCTAGCTAGATCCCCCCATATTAATTAGTTGCTCCCTCCTTATCATCATCCTTCTCGTCACAAACTACGTACATTAAATATGGTTAATGTCATTAGCGAATTAGCTAACCTGACCATTGATCTAGGGAGCAGTACCGCTGGGACCATATAATTTTCAAGATGCTTTAATTTAAGTTGAGTAGAGTAGCTTATTTCCCATTCCATGAGGGAGCGTCTCTAGGAGACCATTGAATAATTGAGTAGCAGAGTCTCTAGATTAAACAACTCACATATATATTTCTTCCGGCAACTTCCTCTCTAACTCTCATCTAAACCTTTTAGTTATGCAATATACTTACACCCAAGACCCAACTATATATATATATAGTCATAAGTCTCTGGGGATCGGTGATGTATAGCGGCCTCCAGAATCCCATGTTGGTGGAGTTATCCACGCTTAGGGATGCAACTCGGTGGTGCCATCATCTTGGTTTGGGGGAGGTGTCGATTGAAGGTGATGCGAAGGTAGTCATTGAAAAGATCAACGCGGGGCATCTCATACGCTTCTGGGGGGCATATTTGAGGAAATTCACCATCTTCTTTCGGCGTTGCCTGGATTTCAGATTGGTTTTGTGGGTAGGCAGAACAATAGAGTAGGCCATTTGGTGGCTAAGAAGGCCCTGTCCTTGTTTCCTACGGGTTGTAATGTTTTTTATTTTCATACTTGGCTTCGGTTGGAGTTAGGTCATATGTAACTTGGTTTTCTTGTTCAATGCAAGTGATCTGTTTCGTCAAAAAAAAAAAAAAAAGTCTCTGGAGAGGACAAATGAACAAAATGAGAGCAAATGTAGTCGATATTTGAAAATAACACTAGTGTTTTATCAAAAAAAAAAGGATAACAGTTAGTAAAAATATATATTAAATTGCATTGTTGGAATTGTCTGTCGTCAAGTTCAAGTCCATTTTATCATATAATTTTATTATTTTGTATTGAAAATTTCATGAGCATAAAATTGTAGGTACGTTTACGAGAAATTACAATAAAGTTTAATTCAAATTTCGAAATTCGATATAAGAGGAAATTATAACGCACAAATACATTCCCACCACAATATATATAATTGTATCATAGTACATTAAAAATCAACCAAAATGAAATGCATATTTGTAACGTACAAATACAATCCCACTATATATAATCTTAGCCATGTCGTCCAACGCACGATCCACTTCCCCCAGCACGATGAGAACAACCATTGGGTCCCGAGGGGACTGGACCTACAATTTCACCATCACCTTATTCCATCAGTTATCTTTTTGGGTACTCAAACTCATCAATGTCGACTCAAAATCCTACCTAATTATAAACCTTCAGATCGTGTACGTAATACACTCTTATAGACAACTAATTAATTAGGTACATGCAGTCACATAAGTCATAACTTTCAGAATCAGGTATAAGACAATTATTGAATCCGATCCCATACCCATTACAATTACATGGGATCCTCTTTCTTTGTATTTCAGTCTTATATATATCAGCCATGGGCGGCGGGACCTGACTTGCTTCCACAAGCTCCTACCCTGTTAGCGAACTAACCATTTGGTCCCAATAACTCGAGTTGTTGGGAAATGGATAGCTAAGCCTTTTAACCTCTTATACGCCCTCTCAAACGAAAGCTTACCTTTGTCGGGGTTTTTTATACGGTTTGCACAGGTTGAACATATCATTCCTTGTGCTGCCAAACCCATTAGGCTTTCAGTTTGTACAGGTTGGACATACCATTCCTTGTACTAAACCATTGTTTGCTTAAATTGGGGTTCGTCATGAGGATTCGAAACCATGACCTTTCGGTTCTAGGCTCTGATACCAAGTTGTTGGGACCAAGTGGTTAGTTCGCTAACATGGTATCAGAGCCTAGAACCGAAAGGTCATGGTTTCGAATCCTCATGACGACCCCCATTTTCAGCCATTTGTTTAGCACAAGGGATGGTATGTCCAACCTGTGCAAACTAAAGCCTCGTGGTTTGGCAGCACAAGGTTTCAACCTGTGCAAACCGTAAAAATCCACAATTCGGCATCGGCTTTCGTTTGAGGGGGCGTATAAGAGGTTAAAAGGCTTAACTATCCCTTTCCCAACAACTCGAGTTATTGGGGCCAAGTGGTTAGTAGATCCCCCCATATTAGTAGCTCCCTCCTTATCATCATCCTTCTCGTCACGAACTACATTAAATTGGGTTAATGTCATTAGCGAATTAGTTTTTTTTTATGAATGATGAACTTTATTACAAAGAGGAAACAAGAAAATACAACTAAAAAAACAGACACCTTTACAAGCAAGAAGAAAATTTTGAGAAGAAAAAGAATTTTTTGGCAAAACAATACCAAAACTCAAAGAGAAAAAACAAGAACCAGAATGGAAACTTCAAGACTGAAGACAGATAACTAACACTAACAAAAAGAGAAACAAAAACAAAGTGAATTCACTTGAACCTCAAGTCCCCAAAAACCACCTACACATTGAGGCAAAACCAAGAAACAAATCAAAACAAAGAAACAACTATCAACCATCCCCAATCCTTACCCATTGTTGTAAGTGGGCGTCTAAAAGAATTTTAAATGCTCGAAACCACCTCCCAACCATTTGGATGATCTTGTGACACAAGTGTATGGGGGAAATTCAATATCTCTAAAAATCCTATTGTTTCTTTCGCTCCAGAGTGACCAACACACTGCATGTGACAAGACTTTAAGGCAATTTGTGAAATTCGATCACACCTCAATCCTCTCCAAGCATGGAGAAAAGACCGAACCTGAGCGGGGAAAGGACCATGCACTATGCAGCTCTAAAGATCTCATGAAGAATTCTCAAATTATCCTTGAGAATGGGCAAGTAAACATAAGATGTGAAATCGACTCCTCATTAGCGAATTAGCTGACCTGGCCATTGATCTAGGGAGCACCGCTGGGACCATATAATTTTCAAGATGCTTTAATTTAAGTTGAGTAGAGTAGCTTATTTCCCATTCCATGAGGGAGCGTCTCCAGGAGACCATTATTATTTTGTATTGAAAATTTCATGAGCCTAAAATTGTAGGTACATTTACGAGAAATTACAATAAAGTTTAATTCAAATTTCGAAATTCGTTTGTCAGAATAATAAAATCGATGACCTTTTTTCAAATAGGTCCATATATCTTTAACTATTTGGACTATGGTCCTGTTGACTATCTTGATTTCGCTTTTACAACTTAAACTAAGGTCGTATAAAAATTTTCCACATTTTTGGACAACGGTGAAAACAACGTTGTCCTTAAGAGGATATTATATCTTTGATCACACAAATAATATTAAAAATTATCTTGAACAGAAATTGAATGATCCGACAAGAAATTATAACGCACAAATACAATCCCACCACAATATATATAATTGTTTCATAGTAAATCAAAAATCAACCAAAATGAAATGCATATTTGTAACGTACAAATACAATCCCACTATATATAATCTTAGCCATGTCGTCCAACGCACGAGGCACTTCCCCCGGCACGATGAGAACAACCGTTGGGTCCCGAGCGGACTGGACCTACAATTTCACCATCACCTTATTCCATCAGTGATCTTTTTGGGTACTCAAACTCATCAACGTCGACTCAAAATCCTACCTAATAAACCTTCTGATCGTGTACCTTAATACACTCTTATAGACAACTAATTAATTAGGTACATGCAGTCACATAAGTCATAACTTTCAGAATCAGATGTAAGACAATTGAATCGTCCGATCCCATACCCATTACAATTACATGGGATCCTCTTTCTATGCATGTATTTCAGTCTTATATATATCAGCCATGGGCGGCGGGACCTGACTTGCTTCCACAAGCTCCTACCCAAGGACAATTCTTACCTGCGGACAGAGGACTCGAGAGAGATCGTCTAAGTATGAATCTTATAACATTCTCTACGATAACACGATTTAATCGAAAAAAAACGCTATGTAGAGCTGCTTACCGCGTTGGAGGAGCTGGCGAGTGGACTCTGCTGGGACTGCGGAAGACAGGACGAGCACCATGAACAGTACGGCTATCAGTTGAACGAAAGGGAGAGCGGCCTTTCTCATCATCATCTTGACTGCTGCTTCCATATCTCTTTGCTGTGAAATATATGTCTGGGAGACAAGAGAGGTTTCATATATAATAACTGGGAGGGAGATCAGTGCTCTGCCTAGCTTTCTCTTATTTATGGTGCCCACATAACTTTAAACGAGTCGATCGAGCCGCCAGACTTGACTACAGGACTCTACACTTGGCTTTATGTATTCACAAGTGGGATAATATATAGGATGCGTGTATTTCAACTTCGCGCCAGCCACCACACCCATGACTTGTTCTTCTGCGCGCATTGATCCATTGTTTTTTCACTTTCCACCAACAGTTTCCTTCTCTTAAACAAGTTAGTTTATTGTTAGTAAGAAAATAATTTAATGCTAAAACATAACATACCGTTGACGGGAAAAAAACTATATAAATTTTGATAACTTGGACAAACATATGGGGTAATTATCATAAATGGTCACAAAACTATTCACTTTGTGCAAAATGGTCACAAACCTTTAATTTTGCACGTTTCGGTAATAAAGGTTTAAGCGAATAACGAAATGGTAAATCCGTCCATCTCCATCCAAAAAACCGTTACTTTTGTCTAGTCAGCACGCGTCATCATTTAAAAGATTAATAAAAAATTAATGAGCGAATCCAATTGAACTGATAACCCAACTAAAACCCCTAATTTTATACCCACCCCATCGGTTCCGCCGTCGATTCCGGCGACTCCAGCACTGCCTCCCCATCGCGTTCATCAATACCATCGCCGCCATCTCCTCCCCTCTCCAACGGAAATATAATAGCAAATAAAAGAGAATCGAACTCGTTCAAATCCCTAGTTGGAAGCGAATCCTTGGTGAGCATGTAACACTCTGGATCCCAATCATTATAGAGCACATCGCAGGCAACGGGAACAGCTTCATCCCCCACCTTCAACGGGATCGCGTTCAGGGGCCAATGGGGTGATGGGTAAAGGGTTTGTTCCGACCGGTTGGACTTTTGGGTTAAGTCGGCTGATTAACTATTTTTTAATTAATATTTGCACTGACGTGTCATGCTGACGGAGCAATTTAGGACGTAATTTGGAACGGAATTGGACGGATTTACCATTTCGTTATTCGTTTAAACTTTTATTACCGAAGCGTGCAAAATTAAAGGATTGTGACCGTTTTGTACAAAGTAAATAGTTGTGACCATTTATGATAACTACCTGTTGGGGGGCATGCAAGAGGCCCAAAGGAAGGGCCCAAAGAGTCGAAGTGGGCCAGATGTGCAGACCTGGCAAGGGGAAGGCCAAACCCAAAAGGGGCCGGGGGCTGTAACCTAGGTGGTGGGACTGGGCGTGACGTAAGGCACATAACGACAAAGGTGGCAACGGCCAGGAACGTACGGAGAAGACATAATGTGGGGTCATACGCCTCGGGGTCGAGAACTGATGTCAGAATGTCGGGGCGCATGGCAACGGTAAAGTACAATGCATTTAATGAGGTGATGACGTAGGACGGATTTGGGGGGCAGTGGTCGACCCTACTCGAGGTATAAATAGTGAAGTTGGTGGAGCTTATTTACTCAGGTTGGACTTCTCTCTAAAGACTATATTCTACTTCTCTCTCTAGAATACTGTTCTAACTTGGACGTCGGAGTGCTAACGAGCCCTAAGTAAGGGGCTCGGTGGGCGCCTCCTTGTGCAGAGACGAGGGGAACCTAAAGGGCAGACCGGGAAGAGGATGAGCGCATTGACCGGGGGAATGCTGGGTTATTTGGCATAAACAATTGGCGCGCCAGATAGGGGAATATAGCCTAGAAAGTACGGGAGTCATGGAAGAAGCGACGGATGCAGCGGGAGAGGGAACGCGCGCCTCGAACGATGCAGGGTCGGAGGGGGCGCCACGTTTGTCGGAATAGATACAGGAAGGGGGAGACGAGGCGCAAGAGACGGTCCAATCGGACGGCGTCACGCTCACCAAGGAGCACTTGATTCGCATCATCGAGGAACAAGATCAGGCGCTCGAGACGCTGAGGAAGGAGGTGGAGGCTCTGAAGAAGGGGGGAGACGCGGCGCCATCCGCCGTTGGAAGGAAAAGAGAGAGAGTTGAGGACGAGGAAGGGGTGTCCAGCGCCCTAAGGCGCACAGAGGAGATGGGCACCTAACGCGGCACATGGCGTCAGACTTCGATGAGCATAACAGGTGGGACCCAAGGCGCCTTGGGGAGTTCGACAACCGCTGGCGCGAAGCGTCTTGGCGGAGCAAGCCAACTCGGTCATACCGGCGCTCCCTAGCTATGACGGCACGGCTGACCCGGAGGATCATTTGAGCAATTATTTCACCAAGATGCAGCTGTACAACAGCTCTGACGCCACGCTGTGCCGCGCCTTCCCGTCAACCTTCGTCGGCGTTAGGGGTGGGCAACGGGACGGGACGGGATACCCGTCCCGTTTTAAACGGGATACCCGTCCCGTTTTAAACGGGATACCCGTCCCGTTTTAAACGGGTACCCAGTCCCATTTGGAGGCCAAAGTCCATCCCATATCCCAAACCCATATGGGAAACGGGTACCCATTACCCGTACGGGACGGATAACGGGTACCCATACTACCCATAAACACCCAAAGTTTAAACCACTCAAATTTTAACAAAAGTTTAAACTTAACTTGTACTTGCTTAACAATCACAAGACACAAATCATGAACAATCACAACGCATAGAAAAAATCATTCTAAGCACCAAATTATCAAATAAGAAGTTTCATTCAACACAAATCATGAACAATCACAACGCATAGAAATAAATCATTATAAGCACCAAATTATCAAATAAGAAGTTTCATTTAAAAAAAGGGAGTCTACAAGTATTATGTTCACATAGCGTTCTTTGTTTCTTTACTAAGAAAAGTTTCATCTTTGTGGCGAAGTGGACATTCCCTTTCTATGGATTAGAGTTCGCAAATGGGTAAAACGGGTACCCACATTACCCAAACGGGTATTTGCGGGTAACCCGCGGGTACCCATATTAGGAATGTACAATCCCGAGTCCCATCCGTTCATAATATTACGGATAATATGGGTACCCGTAACCCTTAAAAAACGGGACGGGTACGGGTATACCCAAATACCCGTTTCCCATTGCCCACCCCTAGTCGGCGTGGTGTTGGACTGGTACTATCAGATTGAGGAGGGTAGGATCGACAGCTTCGAGCAATTCGCGGCCATGTTCCTCTCGAAGTTCGCCAGCCGGAAGCGCAGGAGCCTAACGATTATCGCACTGTTCAAGGTCAGGCAGCGCAAGGGCGAGGCGCTTCGGGACTTCTACGAGCGATGGATGTCGGTCGTAGATGGCGGTCAAAGACGTCAAGCCCACGGTCCTAGGGTGCTGCTTTGATGAGTGCACCACCGGTGAAGAGCTTTGTCGAGCGCTGTCGAAGCGAGACGTGGTGTCCACGGAAGATTTGGAAAACAGGGTGCAGAAGGTCATAATGCTGGAAGAGACGCTGGCCGCAAGATTTACGCAATATATTTGTCACGTAACTAATAGAACGATGTTACCTAAATCTTAGGTAATGTGTGGTCTAATAATCAAATCAAGTTATGGAAAGTATCACAATTGACTAATATGTTATGTAAAATTTAACTTATCTTACGGAACCGTTGTATTGTAATGCAAATTGAAATGAGATGGTGAATATGAGTTATGTTACAAATGATTAAACGGTTATGTAAAAAATAACTTATCTTACATAACTTTGTCTAATGCAAATTGATGAGATGATCAATAGTTTAGTTAATAATAACGGAATTTTGACTCAAACTTATTCACAAAAGATTACATAAAAATTTTCTTAATTGATACATAAGAAATATCTATCTCTCAATAAGCTTTATGTAGTGTCTTAATATTACAGAAGACTTGCATAATATGTACGTTTGTTATTGATACATAAAAAGTTTCGCGTCATGTATTTTTAATTTACATGATGTATATGTTATTTATGTAAATGTTGTGGTGTTACGTAAATTCTTGATAAATGTTTGGTCTAATAATAAAATGAAATTATGTAAAGTAACACATTTCATTAAACTATTATGTGAAAGTTAATTGACCTTATGGAACCTTTACTTAAGATCAATGTAGTCAAAATCGCGCTTTAAAACTTAAAAATTTACGATTTTACGTTTCTAGGTCACTAAAACGCTTCTACACAGAATCTCAGTTTATACAACTTATGTAGTTAAAAATTCCGCTTTAAAACTTAGAAACTTACGATTTTACGCTTCTAGATCACAAAAATGTTTCTACATAGAAACTCGCTTTTGACTACATTGCTTAAGATAAATTAATATTATGTGATCAATTGGAAAAAGTTACCAAATGAAAAGAATTGGAGAAAGGGCTGGAACATGATATGCCAAACCAAAAGCCCATATTACCCCAAAGACACCACATAGATTAAATTGAACACACAAATTAAATGAGGAACACGGTCAGAAGAGAAACATATGAAGGCTTGGGCGGACTCAAGATTGGTACGGCGGGGGGACCAGTTACGGTAACAACACTCATTGTGTTGTTATTGTAACAACACTAGCCTCTAACCAATAGGAATCTAGGATTGTGATGACTTTTTATGAGATGAGTTGACCAAGTGTAAAATCAAAGCAGGGGTATAATTGTCATTATGAAAAATATATTTAAAAAATAAAACAAAAAAAATAAAAAAATATTTTTTATTTTCGGCACAAATTTTTGGTCGCCGGAATTCGGCCACCTGTTGCCGGAATCTGGTCGCCGGTCACCGGAATATGCTTTTTTGTCGCCGGAATATGCTATTTTGCCATCGGAATATGCTCACCGTCGTCGGAATATGCTTACCGGCGTCGGAATATGCTTACTGGCATCGGAATCTAGTTACCGGGGCCGGAATATGCTTATCGGCGCCGGAATCCGGTCACTGACGGTCATCAGAGTTTGGTCAACGGTCAACGACCACCGGATGTTATGGTCTGCATTGTGAGATTTATGGTTTGGTTTCTCGTATTTTTGTATGCCTTTTGTGGTTTGTTTTATCGTGTTTTTGGTTTGCATTAAGAAGTTTCTGGTTTGTTTTATCGTGTTTGTGGTTTGCATTAAGAAGTTTCTGGTTTGTTTTCAAAAATTTTGTAGTTTGCATTGAGGGGTTTCTGGTTTGTTTTAATATATTTGTGGTCTGCATTAGGACGTTTATGGTTTTTTTTTTGTGGTTTGATTTACTGTGTTTGTGTTTTGCATTAGGAGGTTTCCGGTGTGCTTTCGCAAATGTTGTGGTTTGCTTTGTGAGGCTTGTGGTTTGTTTTAGGAGATTCGTGGTTTGCATTAGACGGTTTCTAGTTTGCATTAAGAAGTTTCTAGTGTGCTTTCGAAACTTTTGTGGTTTGCTTTGCGAGGTTTCTGGTTTGTTTTAATATATTTGTGGTCTGCATTAGGACGTTTTTTGTTTGCTTTACCGTGTTTGTGATTTGCATTAGGGTGTTTCTGGTGTGCTTTTCAAAATATTTGTGGTTTGCTTTGTGAGGTTTCTGGTGTGTTTTAGGGGATTTGTGGTATGCATTGGGAAGTTTCTGGTGTGCTCTTTTTTTTTTTTTACTTTACCGTGTTTGTGGTTTGCATTAGGGGGTTTCTAGCGTGCTTTCGAAAATTCTATGGTTTGGTTTGTGAGGTTTCTAGTTTGTTTTAGAGAATTTGTGCTATGCATTGGGAGGTTTTTGGTATGCTTTTTGTGGTTTGTTATACCGTGTCATTGGTCTGCATTAGAAGGTTTAAGATACAATTTTTTTGGTTTGATTAACCATATTTAAATATGGTATACTTTATGAGATAAAAAAACACAATAATGGTCATTCTGACTGGCTTCCCTTTCATGCTGATCTTTTTTCTTCTCTACAGGGCCGGAGGAAACGTCTTACTTGTGGGGTTCTCAAGACTTTTCAAAACCACCCAGCAGACAGTTTTTCCTCCAGATACACCGCAAGCAGAAATACAATATGTTCATGTCAATTGTCATCAAGTCATCGCCTGTTGACGGGGACTCCTAATCTAATGCTCGCCGGCGCTTAGCTTGTAGCTCCTAGCTGCATTTACACTGTTGCTATCCGAAATTTCGCATCATCAATGGCTGCAGGAGGATCAATAGCAGTTGTGAACACAATCTCGTCAGCTTGGGATGCTACCTGGTCTTGTTAGCAAGGCCCTGTCACCAGAAATCCACTCTGCTACAGGAGCAAAAATTTGATGGTGGGGAAGATGGACAAGTAGAACTATTTTAGTCAGAAAATTGGATATTCAAGCTTCAGTTCGACTATGTTAGCCCGTTGGGTAATTTCTCCAACCTTTACCTGGGGATATGGTACAATCTTCGGCCTCCTCCCTTCCCGTTCTCTGATAACACTGTCGTTGAAATCCTTCGCGCACCAATCTTCGACAGAGCCGAAATCGCCGTCCAGGACAACGATTTTAATCTTGATGGAAGACAGCGGACCCGACGTGACGATTGTATTGGACGCGGCATCGAGGAGCACGATCCAGATCCGAGCGGAAACTCCGACATGCTCGGCAGCAGCGGCCTCAATCCAGAACCGGCGCCGTCGTCGTAATACAACTCGAATCCACGGCCTCCGCCTCCTCCACTCTCGCCACCGTTGCCGGTACTGGTGAAGCTATTCCCACTCTGGCTCCCACTGTCCGCTCCGCCGCGGAGCACGATGACCGGATTAATCGGCGATCTGTCCCCTCCTCCTCCACCGTTCCGCCTTCCACCGATTCCTCCCCGGACCCCGCCTCTTCTCTGCTCCGGCATGAACATAGCAGCAGGGAATCCCCGGCGGTGGGGGCGCGTCTCCATCGGTGTCATCTGAGCCAGTGCTGCGATGGGCGGAGTCGCACGAAAACCTGGGAGGAAGAAGGGTACGGGTGGGGTAATGAATCATTTAATTTAATTTTAATTTATTATTTTTTGTGAGTTTCCGTTTTTACCCCTGTTGTTACTCTAACAACACTATGAGTGTTGTTATAGTATCCGGACCCTACGGCGGGGCTATCACAGCGGAGCACACAGTGTGAACAGTAACCTTAAAGATTAACATGGGGAATTCTACTATATCGGCACTGTACCGGTGCCGCCCTCTATTTTACCGGCTTTTGCTGGTTTAGAGTTTCATAGAAACAGTTTCTCCCGGTCACAGTTTATTTTGTTTGTTTACCGGAAGTTTTTTTATTTATTTATCTTTGATTCTAATTTATCTTGGAAGTTCTTTTATTTTCACTATTCTAAATTTATTTTACATTATCAAATATGTTAATCAACAATTTATTAAATTAAAGGTGGAATGAAATTTGAGTGAAAATCCAACTACAAAAGTAAAACTTAAGGGTTGGACTAATGATAATACAGAGATGAGAACATACATCATACCCTAAATTCAAATAGAATCTCATGCCAACAACCAATCAAATAACAAAAGAAAGTCATATATTGTATCAACGAAAAAAGGCAACTATTTTATCTTTTGGCGACTCTCTCAATTAGGTTAGGTACATCGATGCAATTTGCTTGCAACTTAAATTGTTGGAGGCACATCAAAAAATAAAAATACATAAAAAATATAAAATAGAATGTTGCTCTTTTGACTTGGATAAAATGGTACATCGTTTTCTTAAAATGGTCAACCGTATGAAATATTTATCTTGTTGTATCGAGAATCTATCATTGCAAAGGAAAATAATGATCGATCACGTCAATAGAATAGTTATAGTTCTTTGATTGACCCCAATATGCATGTTATATAGAACAAAGTCATACATTCCTGTTGAATTAGGTATTTTCCCTTCACCTCGATTGACATGTGGAAGCAATTGATTGACCGTTCTTTTCCTTTGTAATATTGAATCTCGTTGCAACAAGGTAAGTGTGACAATTTTCTTGAAACAATCAATTGTTTTCTCCAAGTCACATTGACTTCTAATTTATCATGGGCATAACAAAAAATTTAAGCTTAATAAAAAAAAAGGGCCTATGATATATGCTTTATGTTAACGGAGACTAAACCTAAGGACACAACTTCTATATAAAAAATATAAGGAAACAATTGACATGAATCATAAACTATATGCACTTTCATGGTACCGGGCCATAAATTTATGATTATGATATATGAATATAATTTTTTATTTTTTTCAAAAAGATATCTTGCATTACTAAGAACAAAGAAGTTACAAATTTTTGATTTGAGAGCACAACCACGCTTGAAAATCAAACCCCAAACACCTCGTAGGAAACAAAGCCAGAGCTTGTTTGGCCACAAGAAAGTCCACTATTGTTTTGGCTATCCAGAAAAATAATGCAGAACCCGTGATACAATGAATATAATTATTACCTATAATTTTTTTTGAACTTAATACAATCATATTTAATTTTAAAAATTCTCCCAAACTATACATTCTTTTTACAGGGATCTAAATTAGGATAAAGGCTCACAATCAAGTCATGTATTAAAAATTAAGTAAAAAATAATTACATAACATTACAAAAAAGTATAAAGCTTATTCAACGAAAAAAAATGCATAAATCTTGTTATAACACAATAACGGGGAAAAGGAAAGACCGGCTATAGCCGGTGGAGAGTAGACGGCATGGTACAGGTACGACACCATAGAATTCCCCTTACTTACTACAATTAAAGATGCTAAAATATCGTAAGGAACCGTAATTAATAGGTAACTTGCGCTATTATAATACCAATTAGTGTGCTCACTGGTTGTCCTGATCTACATCTATAAAGCCATGGAGAATTCTTGGAATTGGGTGAACGTCGACTTCCAAAATACGCTCGAGAGCATACACAACCTGGCTCATTGTCGGCCTGCGGCTTTCATTATCCTGAATGCACCACAGAGCAACTCTACAAATCCTGCTCACCTCTTCACTGTCAGCATTCCCATCTAACCTCGGATCCAATAGCTCCATCACATTCCCGCCTTCATTAACAACAGTTGCTACCCAAACGGGGAAGTAATGACCTGCACATGAATGTCGCTGCGAGTTTCTCCTTCCCGATACCACCTCAAAAAGCATCATCCCGTAGCTGTAAACATCGGCTTTGGATGGTTATGGCCTCTCCTGAAATCCACTCTGGTGCTAGATAGCCAATTGTTCCCCTCAAGGTGGTCAGAACCCTGTTGAAGTCTCTCCCAAAGAGCTTCGCCATGCCGAAATCCGCTAGTTTGGGTTGAAATTCACCATCCAGAAGAACATTGTCCGGCTTGATGTCACAGTGAAATATGCGCTCTCGGCATTCCTCGTGTAGATAACCCAAACCTCTGGCTGTTCCCAGCGCGATGTTGTATCTCGTCTTCCAATCTAAGGTCTTGGACACATTTTCGTTAAACAAATGACACGCCAACGAACCATTAGGCATGTACTCATAGACTAAAAGCATTCTAGTAGCATCACAAGTGAATCCTCTGAAACCAACCAGATTAAGATGTTGGATTACGCCAAGTGTTGTGACCTCAGCAAGGAACTGCTTGTGCTTTTCTGCTTGGCTGAAGCTGATGCCCTCCACCTTCTTAACTGCTACAACACTCGAATCAGGAAGTGTGCCTTTATAGACAGAACCAAAACCTCCTTCTCCCAACTTCTCCGCGAAATTCCTAGTAGCATTCTTCAACTCTTTGTGGGTGAAACCCACTGCCACTAGAGACCCTTCCATAACCTTTCCATGTTTAGCCTTTTGCTGCTTTCTCCATCTTCTAAAGACTACCAAGATAACGAGAACCAGCAGCAGCACAATCGAACCCACCACACAACTAACATCAATCCATTTCTTGTGGTTCGAACTTGGGAATTCCTCAGCTGCAAGTTTAATGTAGATGGTTTGTCCACTTGGGACGTCTTGCCGCATATTCAGGAGATCAACGTACCAAACTGAGCATTCAGTACCATTGTAAGAAAAAGCTGTACAGCTGCAAGAGCTCAGACAAGATGACTCGCATTCCTTTGAACTTCCAGCTGCTGAGATCCGAGCATTGTCAGGCAAGCGCACCACAGGAATGGGCCAAAACCAGTCAGTTTTGTCACAACGAAGAGGGGAACTTCTGTAGCAGCCACCGTAAAAGGCCCCGGAACCGTAATCAACCTGAGACGCGGGAACAAACTCCGTCAAACAACGACAGGGAGAGGAGCCTGATTTCCCAGTAAAGCTCCCATATGGACCACAATAACGATCAATTTCATATAGAAATGCAGGCTGCCTCCAGATTACAAGCCATCGCTTGGTGAATTCCTGCCAGGAGAGCCGCTGAACCTGGCCTCCGGGATCTAGAACGTACCTTGAAATCAGGGAGCCCTTGTGTTGAGAATACGTTAAACAAGTCTCAATCTGATTATCGAAATAGGAAAACTGGTTCATGAAATTCAATGTCCTCTGCCACTCGTAACCAGGCCAATAGTACTTCCACAGCTCAATCGACCGGTTTGACCCCAGCTTGAGTAAGAAGGGACCTGGAGCAGGATCTTCTATGTTCCTCCAGGAAGTCAGAGAGATATCTCGTTGCGTAACTTTATTGAATCCAATCTTGCTACCTGGAACCCAGGTATCACCAGGTTCATCAAAGCTCTGCCAGAGCGGGGGATTGGGGGGAAATGGAGAAGACCCCCTTGGTAATTGGACTAGATTTCCGTCGTCGAGAAGTACAACTTGAACGGAATGGTGAGGGGCAGAGCTTACACGGTTGGACCAAATCTCGACATTTGAGCTGTTGTACAGCGCCAGACACCCGTTGCGAGAAACCCTGAGCTCGGAAGAAAACTTGTCGGAAACAGGGGAGCCTCTGTTTGCTACCCAAACTACAGTCCGCGGGGAGACTTGTTTGTACCAAATTCCGACGTAGTAATTTTCTGATTTCCCGGGCTTGAAGAAACCCAATTCGAAGACGCCACCTGCCGAGACGATGGTTTGGTCGCCGGAAAGTGATTGGGTTGGAGTGATTCTATCTGCTCCATTGCAGGTGCTAAGTTTGAGGCAGCAGAAGCAGAGGATTAGAAGGGAAAGCCTGAACAAGATGGGAAAGATGGTTCCCATTCGCAGTTGGGAAAGAGTAGAATATGTAGATTGTGAGGCAGAAAAATCTAGTAACTGAAGATTTGGCTAGTCCAACCAAAGAGAAGGCACGACGCCTACGGTATGGGGAGATGCAGGAAGTCGGGAACTGAGAGTGGGAAGTCCCTACTCTCTCCACAAGTCCACACGAAGCCGGTAAAAGTAAGCCTCTAGAATTCATATAGGGAGGAGCTCTGTTTTCCTCGCATGGAGCCTCAAACTCCAAGGCCGCCACACTTAGACTACATTTGTCTTTGTCAAAGGAGGACGTGTAAAGATAAAAGGGGGTTGAATTTGAATAGTTGATTGTGAATGAAGTACTAACTAGGTATTCAAATAGTTACTATGAGAATTACCAAATCAAATAAGTCTAAATTCTATTAATTATGGAATATAGGGGTATTTAAATTATAACGTGTCAACTTCAACTTATTTAGCGCTGACGTGTGCGTTGAGTTGGCACCTAGTCAGCGAACCGTCAAAGAAGTTGATAGTGTTAATAATACCGTTAAAGTATCTACGGAAATGGCTATATTTGTCCAACACCCTTTACAAAATCTGGCTATAAATGATATTTTTTTCAAATTTAGCTATTATTGTCACAATGCGAAAGTTTCGGCAATACAAGTGTATTTTGCCAAAAATTTAACAAAACCAAACCAAATTGTCCAAATACTACCGGTTAAAAGGTTACCATGGTAACCACTCCGTTTGAACACCTCTAGAATTAATCATTGGCAGCTTCTGTCAACGCCATGTTCTCTGCTTCAGTAGTAAGCAACGTCACTATGGACCACAGAGTTGCTTTCCGCCTCACCACATAACTCATAAGAGTGAATACATAAACAATCATAATATGACACTGATATGATACTGGTATGACACTCATGTGATGTTGGTATAAGGTCTTAGAGGTCGTTTGCTTGTAGGATTTTCATCATGGATTTTGGATCAAAATCCCATAACCATGGGATTATGCACAAAGTCCATGTTTGGTGTTAAAGTGGTGTTGGATTATGGTGTGTGGGCCCCATGTATGTGAGATTATTTTTAGGTCAAAATCCGTGGGGTCCACTGATTATAAAAATCCCACCTATTTAGTTGGAATTTTGTGGGAGGCTAAAATCCATGATGGTAAATGACGGGTCTATCCTCATCTCTTTTCAATTTCCTAGATTGAACATTAAGGACACAAATCATTAAGGATACAAATGTAAATTCAGTGCATAATTGATAAAGCTCGGATACAAATCCAATATGAAATCTAACAAACAAACATGCACTTTTTAAAATCCAACACAAATCCAAAGTAACAAAATCCCACATAATCCTTCATCCATAAAATCCAATGTTTTACCTAAATCCTTCATTTTCTAAAATCCTACAAGCAAACGAATGTTTGACAAAAAATAGCAAAATGAATATCATTGTTTAGATATTCAGTAATGCATTTCTTATACTCAATTTGTTTTAAAGTATGATATACAATGAAGTAGATGAGTCATCATACCATTGTCATATCATGATGATATTATAGATATGACAATGATAATACTATAACTGATACGTGCTTTGAAGATTTTATTTTATTTTTGGTCGAAATCTAGCAAAGTAAATATCATTGTAGATCATAATTAATGTGTTATTTTGCAAAATTTTTAAATTTCGAGTTAAAACAAATGTTATAGGATCCGCTTAAAAAAATAAAGGATTAGAAAAGGAAATTTTCTCGCTTATCTAGATCCGTGTCAATAAAAAAAGACAATGGGTACATAATTACTCGTCGGTTCCTCTGTTGTTGTGTTTTTAGAATTAATCTAAATAATTAAATAAACCAAGGAATAAAGAGTTGATGATTGAGTTTTGTAATGATTTTGTATTTATGAGTTTTTACTCTATCTTTCTCAAAGAATATTGTATGAATATTCCTAACTTGGACTATAGTCTTGTTAACGGTGTCGATTTTGCCTTTATAAAGTAAACAATGGTTGAATGAATGTTTTCCGTATCTTTCATAAACGGTAAAAAGAATGGTGCCCTTCACCGTGGAAGAGAATATTATACCTTTCATCATAACAATAATATAAAAAATTATCATGAACAGAAATTATCTTTCAACCTTAACTTGGATAACCCGACAGAAAATTATGATGCACAAATACAAACCCACGATTAGGGCTGCAAACGAGTCGAGTCGAGTCGAGTTTTTGCTTAGCTTGAGATCGGCTCGTTTATTAATTTTTTTGCTCGAACTCGAATTTTGATAATCTAGCTCGAGCTCGAGCTCGGCTTGAATAAAAATAATTTAGTTCGAGCTCGACTCGGTAGAGCTCGATAAATGCTCATTAACATAGCTTGTCAAGCTAAGTACAAGCTCGGCTGAAGATGAGCTTGATTTAAAATCATTCTTGCTGGAAAAATGTGTGAACATAAAAATTTCAATGATAGAAAGAACACTAAAAACTATAAATAACATCTAAATTGCATACACATTTGTATTAACACGACAATGTTCATGTTTAAAAGAGTAATTCATCCTTCCACAAGCTCTAAACAAGGCAGCTCGCGAGCTTAGCTCACCAAGCCACCGAATCAAGCTAACTCGCGAGCTTATCAAGCTGAGCATGGTCTAGCTCAAGCTTGGCTCGTTAACTAACGAGTTGGCTCGCGAGCCGACTTGTTAAATAACGAGTCGAATATCGAACGAGTTTTTTCCGATTCGAATGCCGAGTTGCTCGCGAGCGGCTTGGCTCATTTGCAGCCCTACCCACGATATATAATTGTTCCACAGTAAATAAAAAATAAACCAAAATGCATATTTGTAACGTACAAATACAATCCCACTATATATAAATCTTAGCCATGTCGTCCAAGGCACGAGGCACTTCGCCCGGCACGATGAGAACAACCGTTGGGTCCCAACGGCACTGGTCCTACAATTTCATCATCATCACCTTATTCTATCAGATCCTTTCTCTTTCCTTTCATCAATACCACTAAGGGTGAATTCACCCACTCAGGACATTTAACAAATCCAAGCATTGCTGGAACTTGCCATATGAAATCGCCTTCGTGAATGTACCAGCAGAATTGTCCGTGATGTCAATCTTCTTCATCTTAATCCTCTTCTCTGTTATGAAGAAATGATACCTCACGTCGACGTGCTTAGTCCTTGCATGGTGGACTTGATCTTTGGCCAACCATATTGCACTTAAAATGTCACAATACACCACTGTCTAATCATGATGTAGACCCTGATTACCAATCAGCCCCTTCAACCATATTCCCCCCTTGGCATCTTCTGTCAGCGCATGTACTCTACTTCACTAGTAGGCAATGTCACTATCGACTGCATAGTTGCTTTCTCGCTCATCACATAACTCCCAAATAGTGAATACATAACCGGTCATGATATGACACTGATATATGATAGTGGTATGACACTCATATAATGTTGGTATGAGGTCTTATGTTTGACAAACATAACAAAAAAAGAATATTATTGTATAGATATTCAGTAATGTGTTCTTTATATTCAATTTGTTTTAAAGTATGAGATACAATGAAGTAGATGAATCATCATACCACTGTCATATCCTGATGATATGATAGATATGACAGTGATAATACTACAACCGGAACGTATTTTGAAGAGTTAATTTTTTTCTTTGCTCAAAATATAACAAAGTGGATATCATTGTGTAGATATCATAATTAATGCGTTATTTCTATGCCAAAATTTTAAATTTCAAGTTAAAACGAATGTTATAGGATCCAATATAAAGAAATAGGATATTAGAAAAACATTTTCTCTCCGCTCTAGATTCGTGTTAGTAAAAAAAAAGAATGGGTGCGGAATTACTAGTCTGTTCCTCTATTTTTTTTTTGTTGGCAATTGGTCACTCGAATTGCTATAAAATTTCATGTTTGCCACTCGAATTGGTTTATTCCATTTATAGTCACTCGAATTAGTTGAACAGTCCAAGTTCTGTCACTCTCCGTTAACCTCCGTTAGACTCCGTTAATGACACCGTTAAATGATGACGTGGCTAACAGAAAATCACAGTCAGCATATTTTAACACTAAAAAACGACGACCCGACCCGCCACATCATATTTACCCGCCCAGTCAACCATTCTTGCCCAACCTGCGAACCAATCCAATTAATTGACCCAGACCCGAACCAACACAATGGCTGCTTCCCTCTCATCCCCGTTCACACTTCCGCCACCGACAACCACCGCCGCATACGTTTGATATAACCGCTTTCCTGTCGATTCCCCTTGCCCTAATTTGGTCCGCGGGTCAATTTCTGTTTCTTTTCTCGACGGCCGCGGTGATCGATTCAGTTTTCTTCTCAAGATGCACGCTTTTCGTCGCAAATTCGCTCCTGGTCTGCTCCAATTGCTTCGACTCGGTAGATGGCTCGTGGCGACTCGGCAAGTTTTCTCGGTCCTGGTTTCCGGTTCCACCCCACCGATGAGGAACTGCTCCGGTACTACCTGAAGCAAAAGGTCACAAACAAGCCCGTCCGATTTGACCTGATTTTCGTCGTTGACGTCTACCGGACGGAGCCCTGGGATCTCCCTGGTCTGTTTTCTTTCAACTTCCACTCGTCTTTGTTTTTCTTGATTGGGGTTCCTCTAAGGGTTGGAGTAAGACTCTGCGAATTAGTATCTGCCAGGATGCGCGGTGGCCTTCATCCTCCTTCGACGATTTTCTATGGCTGCTTCTGGAGAGACGCGGCGCTGGAGGATGAGAGGACGATGGAGGAAGGAAAAGTGCCCTACCCGCTCTGTTTCGTTTTTGGTTTCGGTCAATTAATTGGGTTGGTTCGCGGGTTGGGCAAGAAGAGCTGACATGGCGGGTAAATGTGACGTGGCGGGTCGTCGTTTTTTAGTGTTAAATTATGTTGACTGTGATTTTATGTTAGCCACGTCATCACTTAACGGTCATCGTTAACGGAGTCTAACGGAGGTTAACGGAGAGTGACCAAACTTGGACTGTTCAACTAATTCGAGTGACTATAAATGGAATAAACCAATTCGAGTGGCAAACATGAAATTTTATAACAATTCGAGTGACCAAACTTGCAATTAAGCCAATATTTTTGGGCATTGCTATTCGTCGCCCTAAAATTTCTTATTCGTCGCCCTAAATAAATTAAATTTACCTTAATATTCTTTCATTTATTTGTCGGATAATTATTATAACTTGTCACGGCCGGAAAAAAAAAAATTTCAACGACAGCGGCGGAGGCGACGCAACCACCGGTGGCCTTTTGGGTCTGTAACTCCACAAAACCATAACAATTTTTGAACTCCTAGCCCTAAATCCCCAAATCACATCCACCTTCTATCTTATCTCTATGTCAGTTTGCCGCCGACCCACTTGCGATTGGATTGCTTTCAATTGTGATTACTTCAGTGAGTTGCTTGTTGTTCTACTCTGCGTAGCAATTTTCTTGTTTTGGTTCCACATTGGTTTTAGTAGCAGGGTCTTTCTTTTGTTAGTAGACATCAAAGAGAAATCCCCCTGTACTGGCTTAGCAAAAAGTTTATTGATGATTTAACCGGAGAAAGGCAGGGAGGTGGTTTGCCACCACGATTGGGTGCTTCGGCTGCAGAGGCGTTGCCACTGGGGGAAGTGGGCATCTAGGTTGTTATTGCTGTTGTTTAGTGGGGAAAAGGAGTTGAAGAAGGTTCTTGTTGTTGTTCAACTCAAAAATCGCTTCAAAGAACAGAGGATGAAGAATTGAAGAAAACTGCGACACTGACAACAGAACAGAGCATCAACGATAGTTGGGTTGAGGTGGGCAGCGCTGAAGATAAGAATCCGACTATGGCAGCAACGGTCAGAGAACAGAGAAGCTCGGCTCGCCGACCACTGAGAAGGGGAACAAATATTTTTCTGTTTAGGTTGAAATTGAGGGTAAGAATGTCAATTTATTGTATTTTAGGGCGATCAAATTTAAATTTTAGGGTGACGAATAGCGATTCAGTAATTGGGACTATAGTTTGGGTAATTAGCATAAATGGTAACAAACCTTTGCACTTAGTACAAAATGGTCACAAACCTTTAATTTGTAACAATACGATAACAAAACTTTGAAATTGTATAAAATGGTCACCGCTATTTAATTTATGATCGTTTTGTTTTAAGTGAAAAGGTTTGTTACCGAATCGTTACAAATTAAATGTTGGTCATGTTTTGAGGTCGGGTAGTTTGTTCGTTAAGTATATGACACTAACCACTTCAACGACATATAAGATGTCAGGTCATGTGTTCATCGACATATTTGCTTTGCCGAATAAGAATGCCCTCAGTTGACCTTTCAATTTCGATACCAAGAAAGTAAGAAAGTAGACATAGTTTTTTCAACTAAAAAGCAGTCTGGAACCCGTTTGTGAGCCATTGAATTCTATCATTGTCATCCTAAACAACATAATATCATTCACATACATTAACTAGAGTGAATTGTAACGGTGATTGAGCGTTCAAACTTTTGAACTTAATTTGTACAAAACGGTCACCAAAAGTCTAATTTGCAACGACACGGTAACAAAAGTTTGAACTAGTATGAAATGGTCACACTGTTTAATTTGTGACCGTTTTGTTCTAAGTAAAAAAGTTTTGTTATCAAATGGTTACAAATTAAAGGTTTGTGACTGTTTTGTACTACGTACAAAGGTTTGTGACCATTTATGCTAATTACCCACTATAGTTTTGTTAACTTTCTTGATTTTGCATTTATAAATTAAACTAATTAAGGTTGTATGAATGTTTTCCATATCTTTCATAAACGTTGAAAAGAATGTCGTCCTTTGTCATCATGAAAAGACTATTATACTATATCTTTCATCATACAAATAATAATAATAATAATAATAATAATAATAATAAATAAATAAATAAATGATCTTGAACAGGGACTGTCTTCATTGACTTGGATGATCCAACGACCAACAGTAAATTAATTATATAGTACAAACAATCCCACGATATTATAATTGTTCCTGGGTGAATTATTAATCAAACAAAAATTCATATTTTTGACGTACAAATACAAATACAACCCCCACGATAGATACTTTTATCCACGTCCTCCAACGCATGAGACACTCCCCCCGGCACGATGAGAACAACCGTTGGGTCCCGACGGCACTGGTCCTACAATTTCACCATCACCTTAATTATTCCCATCAGTTCTTTTAACTTACAGTCTTAATCAACTTTCAAAATCAGATGCAAGAATACAATTGAATGAATGATCAATTTGTTGGAGATATCTCCGATCCCATACCCATTAATTATTACATGCACTACAACAAAAACGGTCTACTGCCACGTTTTTATAGTGACACTTTCCACAAACGTCACTAGAATGAAAGAAAAAATATTTTATGCGACATTTACTCTAAACGTTACACTTGTATAGTCTATGGTGACAATGATGGTGACGTTTAAATTTTGATGGAGGAAAGTAGTGTTGTTGCGACATTTGTTTAAATTAAAATAACACTTAGCTAAATGTCGCTATAAATGCTTTTGCTTTTAGATTCTTCTGATGTTTAAAAAAATGTCACATTAAAACTTAGTGTGTTGCGACATTTTTTGACATCACATTCGACAAATTACTGGGTTAGTTATAGCGACACTTTCCACAAACGTCACTAGCATGATGGAAAGAATCTTTATACGACATTTTCACTAAACGTCACACACTTGTATAATTTATGACGACAATGATTGTGACATTTAGATTATGATGGTGGAAATCACCATTGTTGCGACATTAATTTTAATTACAACAACGCTTAACTAAATGTCGTTGTAAATTTTTTCGTGGATAGGTTGTTCTGACGTTTATAAAATTGTCACATTAAAACTATGTCTATTTTGACATTTTTTCACGTTACATTCAAAAATTACAGGGACTGCAACAATTTTTCCGAATCCAGAAACCCCATAGGAAAAATATCAAACGCGAAATAACAAATAATTAAAATATATTGGTAGGGTAGCATGACGCTTGTGTATTGTGTTATCTTCAAAAGTAAAATAACAAAGAAAACCCATACGTATTGAAAAAGACACTATTGACTATGGATTTTTGTTTCTTATAGAAACAGAGAGAACTAGCATTAAAATAAATAAAATGTTACATCTTATGGAAGGTAATTATTAAAGAGAAGTATAAGTGCATATCAAATATATAACTAAAAAGAGAAATTATGTTCAGTAATTAATTTTGAGGTAAAATACTAGCTAATCTCCCATCTCAAATGTGTCTCGAGGCTTAACTCGAACAACAACACTCCAACCTGCTTCTGTTCCATCTTGAACATAAAACACTTGTTCAACCTGTGAAGCAAAAACAAATGGTTCATCGTTCAAGTGTCTACCTGTATGAACCACCTTTGAAAAGTTGACCAATGTATAGCCAAATTTGTCTTTCTTCACCCCTCTTCCTCTTTCGACATCAACCCAATCACACTTGAATAACACAATCCTGAATCTTTCATAATAGTTCAGCTCTATGATATCAGTAATTCTGCCAAAATATTCTATAGCCTCTGTAGAAGTTGATGTTTCTGACATGACAACCACACCACTGTTTTGAGCTTTTGTAGATTCTTCCCTGCCTTCAGAGTGGAATCTAATCCCTCTTATGATATATCCACTAAATCTTCGAACCACTTTATTTGGACCCTGGGATAGCCATCTTACATGTTCAGTTACACGTGGGTCTTTCATATCTGATAACCTGGAAACCTAATAAAAATAAATATTACTTTGTTAGAAAGGATATGTCACTAGCATAGTTATATGTAAATCTAAATAAATGATCACGCCATTTTATTTTGTCAATTATACTTACATGACCCTTTAACCATTCTACAAAAGTAGCAGTATGTAGTTTTTCAATATCCACTTGAGAGATGCCCCGTCGTCGATCTTTATTTCGAGATTCCCTTTTGATAGCATCACGATGATCCCTAAAAATTAAGAAACAAAAATGATCATTACATTGCTTGAGTTATGACTAAAATTATATAATTGGTATTAACTGGAAAATGAATGAATAACTTACTGTCGAAAGGAAATCATTATATCACAATTGTATAAGACATAGCGGTGAGCCTGGACCAATGTCTTATCATCAAGTTTAAGATCTTGTACCCCCCCTATTGGACGTCCGGGAAGAATTAGGCAAGGAGCATCATGCATCTGTGTTAAATCTTCATCAACTGAATGTATTACATCTTCATCAACTGTAAGACTATCATTATTCCTCGCAACTCGATTAAATCTTGTCTCTACACCTTCAAAGTATCTAGAACAAAATGTAATACATTCATTTGCGATGTACCACTCAGCAATTGAACCTTCCGGACGAGCTTTATTTTTCACGTTAGACTTAAGTGTCATTAGGTACCTGCGATATAAATATGTTCTGATTACTTCAGAGGAGCAAAAATAAATAAATATAATATATTAATACTATACAAAAGAGATATTAAATCTCAAAGCATCATCAAATAAAACAAGTACCCGCAGCTTCCCAAGGAACAACAAAACAGACGACGGTAGCAGGCATGATGGGAGTTGGGAAAAGCATTAAACCAACTACCTTCATTTTCTTACGAATGAAAATATATTTATTAATGAAAATAAATTATTGACATTGAAGAGAAATACATGGGAGAAAGATGGAAATAAAAGAAAATGAGGCAACCACCACTCTCCCTGATACAGGTGCCTCGACCCACAGGAAAAAGACGCAACCCAACCCCACCACTTATATAATAACCATAAATTTTCCATGCATGAAGATAATAAGCATTAAAACAACACT